TCAGCAGGAGACATTCTTACATCACAGCCTACCTCAGGGTGCTCTCATGCTAGCTGCTTCCTCCTTCCTGCTCTTCAGTTTGTCAGAGTGGGCAGGGATTTTTTTAGTCTTGGATAAGAGGAGGTAATTGAGCCAGTACTGGTGTGGCTATCTTCCCTTTCTCTCAGTTATAGCCTTTTTAATACACACTCACTCATGTTGCATAAAAACACTTTGCCCTATAATTGCATGTGTTTACTCCGGTGGAGGAGCATGGCACCATATTGACCCTAGTATAGGTTTATAGCTGGCTTAGTGAACACTGCACAGAGGCACTCATTTGCAGATGTATGTTGTTTTTCTTTATTGTGGAGGCCTCTGCTAGTGAGAGCAGCTCTCTGCTTTTACTTAGTTAGTGTTGTTGGTCAATACATGAGGGGGACACAGAGGAGGGGGGGAATTGCCTGGCAGTCATCACTGCCCAATAAATATTTTATTGATTTAGAAGACCCCTGCTTCTGATCCAGCACCAAGACAGCCAGAAGCAGCACTGCAAATAGCTGCCATTATATTTGTTTTCCTTCATTATAAGGGATATTCTTTTGAATCTGGTCTACACATTTTTGAGCCTAGCAAAATCAGTCTTAACACTTCTTCTACACTGTTCAAAAGAAAGCAGCTTCCCTTGCTGTTGCTTCTAATGTCATTTTGAAAAAGCACTTTCTCAGTATGAACATGAAAGTGACTCTTAATTGCATATGTGTGTACCGTGTAAGACAGTAACTGGTAAAACATACTGGAACCATTTTCTATGCGTCTCACGCAGCAGATAGAATTCCATTATACCAAATGAGTCAGTCTACACAGAATCTAGAACCCTTGTGTTTTTTATGCTCCATGTCTATTTCTACCCTCTGCTGTGTTTAGTGAAACATAATCTCAACAGTCAGCTCTTTAAATTACACAGATCCTGTTGTTTTCTGTTTCTACTGGCATCTGGTATGACTGATCAGGCTGTATGAGTTTCATTTTCACTTTCTTCCTTTGTAATGAGCTGGGGGAACTCAATAAAATCAATAGGTTACATAATAACGCAATGTCTTCCTGATGATCTTACATGAAAACTATTTTTGTCCAGAACACTGGTCTTGTTGGTCAGCCTGGTAAAGACCCTTTGTCACACCGCTGTCTTTCTGTTTTGATGACTTTAAACGCATAGAATCTGCTGCTCACATCTTGCTTTCAGTGTGGATTGAATGAAATCACGCTTCAGTAGTGCTTACATCTCACTTCCAGTGTGTTTTACCAGTAGCACTCAAAGTGCCAGTGATGTCCAAAGTTGAGCATTACTCAAACATTAGGTTAACACTAAGATGAGCATAATGCATTCCAGCTGACCACTTAAAGATTAACAGCCCGGGCTTAAAATTGCCAAGTAAGGAATACTGAAACTGGCAAGTAAAATATAAGCATTTTAATGTAGCCCTATACCTTTATAATCACCATGATAGTGGTTATTAAACCATTTTATTCAGAACTGCAAACAGGTGCTCAGTTTTCAACATAATTACACTGAAGTGAAGAGGAAAATAAGCCAGTATTCAAAGTTAGTACAGTGAAAATGGAAAAGTATTCATTTTTGCTAGAGGCTATGACAGGGCATGTTTTTATTTATTTTTATGGATTGTCAAACTAGAAATCTGCAGCTCTGGTGTCTTAACTGAGGCCATCAGTCATCTAGTGGCAGCACGACCTGTAGAGCGACAGATTCCTATGCTCAACAGCAGTGGCAACAGGTTTGACTGTCAGCCAATGTGCCAGTCCACAGCAGTGTGCTCTGTCAATAGGGGTAAACAGTCATTCCTGTTATGGTATACCACACCAGATAAGGTTCACTGTGAATACTCAGAAGATGACCTGTATTTAGGTTGAATGGATCAACAATACCAAAAATAAAAGAAAATGGAGTTGTACAGTAAATATCTCCTTTTTTTCCTTGTTATGGGTCTGAGACAGTATATAGCACAAGCTGTTCTTTTTTTGTTTTTGTCAGCTAAATAAGAGGCACTGTATCCCATGCTAGCTAGGGTTGTGTTTGATCTAGCTTCTATTATGGGGGCATGAAAGCTGTAAAAAGGGTGAGACTATGTAAGCAAAGTGGTAGAAAGACAGGAGAAAAACATAGGCACCTCTCTGTCTGCTATAGTCTATTTTTTTCCTCGACACTAGCAACAATGGTAATTCAGAAATAGCAGTTGAAAGCACTGAGACACATATGCACAACTCTTTCAATAGGCAGTCCAAGGGCTTCTTAAAAGCATGTATATAATAAACTGTGGTCTGCTCTCCAGTCTGACTGTTGGAAAGAAGGATTGAAAACAGTGGGTGAGAAAACTAAAGGGAGGAGAAAAGAAAGCATGAATAAGTGCATGTCCTCCACTGAGCGCTGCGCATGGGAGAGCTGAAAAACAAGACATCTGTTTTCAGTAGCCTCTCGTGTACTGTAGGTCTGAAGGACTGCTAAACAAGTCTTCCACTGATTTAGGAGTGAAGGCCAAATATATACAGGTATTGAGATGACACAAATGTCCATCAAAGTATACTGACAGCTCTTGGCTGCCATGGAGCTCTTTGTACCAGGCTTCTGGTGACAGAATGAAGCAATGTTGATGTTTATTTTTGCCATAGGTTAAATTTGATGGACCAAGTTAAAACTGATTAAAGGACCCTTACAAAGCAATTCTAAATGGCACGTGAATGTGCTGTATTTTAATGACAAGTGTAAGATTACAAACAAGAAGCTTCCTCTGATAGTAATAATCATATAGATTTGCTTACAATAGTTAGCATCCAGTCAATTTTTACAGGTTTGCCAGCTGAATACCTTGGACGTTTAACTCCCTGACCTTAAAGGGCCATTTCATCTATTTTACATGTGTAACTCAGGTCACTCCTTATGAAGAGTCAACCCGCTGTATTAGGGAAAAATCCTTGATGGTGTCATTAAGGTTATTTTAGCTCGATACAAAACAAACAATTTGAATATCTGTGTTTTTTAGCATTCAGCTATGCCTCTTATTCTATTTATCTCTCTGTCACAGGATTCTGTGGAGTTATAGGCCTGCATTGTTTCCTAAATTGCTGCCAGATTGGGGACACTGTGGTAGAAGCACTTTAAGGATTTATCTTTGAGGATATTTCCATACATTTGTTTGGAGTGTTAAGCCGTTAACATGACATGTTCCTCTTTTCCTCTCCCTGCATCATTTTTTTTGGATGCCATCACTCCTTTTTTTTTTTTCTTTCCAGGCCTTTTGGCTGACAGCATCCAAACATACTTATTGAGAGTACTTATCCTTGCACTTAGCCTGTCTAATCTTCTCTGCCTGTGTGTTCTCCTTTTAACTTGTAGTCATCACTAGCTCTTATACTACTATCATCACATGGAAACTTGGACTGATTCAACATGCAGGAACTATGGAAATAAAAGATTGCCATTAGTCAACCACTGGTTATAAACGGGTGAAAGTCTGAGTTTAGCTGCTTTGTGCAGACTTTGTCTGTCTGGGTATGTGAGATTTTCTGATCAGGGCTATCTTACCAGAATGAGGCAGGTGTTGACACACAATACTGTAGTAGAAACTCATGTTTTCAGTTAACATTAAAGTTCCACTCCAGAGACATTTTAATATTTATATTTGCATATAAAATACTCAGCTATAAACAATATATAGTTTAACACAGTTTTTCCTCAGAAAAAGTTCAGTGAACCTCTGTAATAGGCATCAACATTTGCACATTTGCCCCTCATTATCCATTCCAGGACCTATCAATGTCCCCCACCCCACATTATGCCAGTTAAAATATGAGGTTTCTCAATTACCCACTTTGTTTAGAGTGTTACATATCTCTTTTCATTGGTACATATACAGTAGCGTTATTTACCTCTTTATTGCTTGGACCTGTACCTATTTATGGAGGGGAATTTCAGATTAATTAATGCCATCCTGGTTTGTTGTGCTGTCCACACTGGCAACAGGAGTTGTGCGCATTCATGAACTAATCTCTTGTTTTTAGGAAGAGGCTCTCTGGTTTTATCATTCTGAAATAATTACAGACTATTTGAAGTTATGATGGGTGCAGAGCTAATCTGGAGGTACCCCAGATTAAACATTAAATGGCTGGAAACGAGCAAAATGAGCATGCCATGGGCACTTTCACTGCTGTCTCTTGTGAGATGGAGTTAAAAAAACACTTCTGCCAAGATTAATAACAATACAGAAAATGTGCAAACTGCAATGATAAACATGTTTTTGATACCCAGTTCTGGTACATTTAACAGTTTGATGAATGTTCCTTGGCTGGAGCCCAGGTGGCACTACCAGCAACAAAGGCTGGATTCCTCCAGAGGGGCAGGTATAAACAACCGGCTTCCCACTGGCCCTGGTGGAAAAGACTTCCTTCCCTCTTTGCCCTTTTGCTTTCCCCACAGAAGACCTTGCATCAGATCTCTGCTGGGCCAGCCTAGTTTCCTTCTAGTGCATTTCTCTTTCCTATTTTGAGATAAACATATAGCCTCCCTGAAAGATTTAGTTTCCTTTCAACATCTTTATGCATTTGAGATTTTAGTTTCCAAAAGTGGCCTGTCCATGGCTGCTCCAACTTTAGTGAATGGAGGAGACCCCACGTTTTATCTTGATTTAACACAATCACCTTGTGACAAGAGATTACCCTCCTTGGTCCTTTCATTTCCATTCAGTGTGAAATGTGTCATGGTGCTTAATATAACGTCTTTACTAAGCATCATCTCATGACCTTGCAGAAACAGTTGAACTTGTGTGGAAAAACTCAGTATACTAGGCTATATTTTATTTCTGTTGGATCTCATCTTGCTTGTTCATGTTGGGTCCAACAGAAAAGGTTTTACCAACATTACAAAATACATCAGCTGTTGTCAGAGTTTTCTCATTCAGGGAAACACAAAGTCAGATGTCATTCAGATGAAGCTCTATTTCATTGCACATGGCTCTATGTATCTCTGGCACAAACATTCACATTCAGTGCAATTTGAGGTTTGTTTACGTGATGACATTTGGCACCAGATGGGAGACCTTCTATATTAGTCTCATGTAAGACAAAATGAGAACTAATGAAAATGTATCATGCATTTAGGCTTAACTCACACAGATCTAAGGAAATGTTCCACCCATGTGTTTTATTGTTCTTTTTTAGTACACAGCACTAGTTCTCCTTTATATGAATGTTGACAAATGTCACTGGTGAGGCTCAGTGTTTCCATGTGCAGATGACCTCAGATCCAGCTGATTGCTACAGAAGCCTGGTGATGTTTTGCTGCATGTGTTTCTGCTCCGTCCTGTGACCGGCTGTGCTTAGTCAGGATCAGATTCCTTCCTACAAAGATCTGGAAACATACAGAAGATGAATCGCTTCTGATCTGTCAGGATAAAAAAATCAGGCTGTCTAAGCACAAGGAAAAAGCTCCAGTGGAGAAATTTGAATATGTTTCATGTAATTTTGGAGTCAGGTACTTTCTTTAGAAAAAACAAAATGTTTAGGTTCCCAGTGTAAACAATAAGAAGGGAATGTTCAAATGGGACTTGTGTAGAAGCCCTGCAGGCAGCACAGCTGTGAAGATGTTGTTGTCACTAACATCGCATACCATCTTGTAACTTTATAGTTACAACTGAGTAGACACATGGTAAGCAGCAGAGTTGCAACGAGTCCCAGCATCTTTATTTGTAAAATATTTGATATGTGCTAATAAGGTTAAAACTAGTTAATAACTTGTAAAAGAATGTAATTATTAGGTATACTCTTTATGGCTACAACTAACAATTACTGCCAGCTCCTTGTCAATTAAGCTGCTGGTTAGTTTCTCCATTAAGTATCAGATAAATGTCTATCCCATCAACAATTTTACCTAGAGTTTCACCTGCCTACTTCCACTGGACTGCAGGAAAATTTTCCCCTATATCCAACCCTATCCCCCCACAAAAAAACTTGAAACTCAGTCTGAACATGACTTAAGAAAATGGCTGAGCTGAAACAGTTCTGTAAAGAACGGTCCAAAATTCTTTCTGACATTGTGCAGGTCTAATCCACAGCTACAGGAAGCACTTGCTTGAAGTTATTGCTGCCAAAGGTGGTTCAACTAGTTATTAAAGCACTGCTCCCATTACTTTTTCCACCATCACTTTGTATGTTTAATGAATGTGTTCAATAAAGACTTGAGAGATCATGACTGTGTTTTATCAGCTTAGAAATCTTGTTTTTGTTGATACTGGTGACTTTGATGAAGATCAGATCACATTTCATGACCAATTTATGCAGAAAACCAGGAAATTGCAAACTGTGCCATTACTTTTTTTTTGTATTTGTGAGGCTTTATTTAGCACCCAACTCAGCTGTTTTTCAGGTAGACTAGGGTAATCTTCCTACAAAGGGCTGCTTCTTTGTCAGATTCAGGTTTCATACACAAGCCTATCTGTAACCAAATCCACTTTCTTTGCATTGTTTTTGGTACAGCATATGTGGTTAATATTTTGTTCTGCTTGCATCTTTGTGAGGATTCAGACTGTTCAAGCAGACATGGTTTAGATTTTATATATGTTAGGTAATGACACCAAAGCATTTCATGTTTTGAGAATTTCATATCAGAGGCTTTGATTGAATTGCTTTTTCTCAGCGGTCACATATACTTGGCTGTAGTTACAACTGTAATCCAGTTGCTTTAAAAGTTTATTTATGTGCTTCTTTGATGAATTACAGCAGATACACACCTGATACCAGTTAGTGAGTGTTATATGCTGACCTGAGATGCTGTAGATTGAGACAAGATCTCATAATTTCCTTAATAGCCACACATACAAAGGTTTGACTTTTGCCTGTCTCATTGTTTTCCCCTGAAGGCCTCGAAGGTTTAACTTTGTAAAAATGAATTCCTGATTATGTTAACTGACGATGTTGTCAGGTCAGCGGGATGTGCTGCCTTCTGCAGTAAGTGACTTTGGGAAAACCGAACAGTATAATATAATCACATAAGCTTCTATGTTTGTTTTTCATTTCTCTCACCCAGAGGGGTTTGTGTTTTTCATCAGGTTGGCCCAGACATTGTCCCTGTCCTCTGCCACAGATCCCACAGCGTTCAACTAGCTTGTTGACTGTGAATAGCTAGAGGTCCCCTGCCCTCTCCTGAAACACACTGTCTAACCATGGAGTTAGGGCAAACCATGCCTTTCTAGGTGGCAGCAGATCCATGCTGGTCATAGCAGGGGACATAATTTACATTTTCTGGTATTTATTTTATTACTGTGTAGCAGCTGTATACTTTTGCACTGCTTTAGGGCTTCTAGTTGGAGTTAAAAGGATACGCACTATCATGGGTTAAGCTTAGGCTTCCACCTGTGCCTCACTTTAAAGCACAACTGGACAAGTCACTTTATATTTGTCCTCTAGACAACATAAAATAGTTTGACAGGATCATGATCTTTTACTGAAGTCCATTGATTTAATTGAAGAATCAGCATCTGTTTGTAATGAAATGTGCTTAACTAAGGCCAGGATTTATTAATTGAAAAAAAATTGTTTCATACTCAAGCCACCCATTTCTATTCTTGACTGAGTGCTGAATATGTTGGATTTCATAGTCTTGAACTGTATCACCTAAATATTCATTTATCAGTGTCTATTTTGTCTTTGTGTTTTTATTGTCACTTAAAACACAAGAAAAAGAAGTTAAGACTGGTTTTTTTAATGGTATGTAGTGGGACAAAAGAGCACCATGCTTGCTGACTGCTGATATGTTATAGTTGCTTAGCAACATTAGGAGCTGTTAGCAGCAATGTGCGCATGCATTTGTATGGAGCTACCAGTACAAGAACATGTGAACTTACTGTCCACATGTCCACATCTTTTCTAACCAACACAATACACATCAATATATAACTGCCTACACTTGGCTTCCCACCAGGTTTCCCACATCCACTTTGTGCTGTGGCACTATTAGTGTATCCTGGTCACTGCTGTTTGAGCAGCTCTTCCTCCCAGTTCCCTGCAATCTCATGTAGCTGTTAAATACACCTACACACGCAGATGAGTGGAAGGTGGCAGTCTTGGGTAAGCTCCCATGTGTCCCAGTATTGAGTTAACATTCATTATTCACGCAATTAGCCTCTCAATCAGTCACCATCTGTAATGTAAAGGAGCACACTGCCGGGTTAGAGAAGAAGATCCTTAATATCACAAAGGTGAAAAAGGACATCAGAAAGAAATTGATAAAGCAGAGTATGGTTTAAACCTTGTTCTTGATTTGACAAAAATGAACAGATGTTTGTTTGTTCAGTTTAATATATCCATCCATCCATTTTCCTCCGCTTATCCGGCACCGGGTTGCATTAAATATAATTTTTGCCTATTTGCCCTGAGTGTTTTCTACTTGAAATAAGAGATGAAAGAAAGCAAACCTTGTTCTGTTGTTAATATCAAGAGGTTCTTTGTCATCATAATGACTGTCCACAGCTACTGTCAAAATTTTAGACTGAATGAGCTCCACATGATTTTTCCAATGTAACTGGCTGCCAGTCTTTTCACATATGACCTTTTGGTGTGTTGCTGAGTCATGTAGACCTGTTCCTAGGTAGCACTCTAAAGAACAGGACAGGAGCACAGTGTTGCTGTCTCTTCATAGTGCCCATCAGACTATCTTTCATAAGATGCAAGTCAGCTTAGTACAAAGCCAGGTTTGCTACAGTGCTTCAGGTCATCCAGCTTTGATTTAGACATGCCTTGTAATTATTATTCTTTTAATTATACCCTAATGTGATACCACAGACTTCATTCAAGTAACTCATAAAGCCCCCCATCTCACCTTCGTTCAGTAAACCTCATAAGACCAATATCCTTGTTATACCCTTTTATCGGGGTCAGGGTTATTGCCACCATCAGCTGGCTCCTAAATGAGGAACATCTTTTCTGCAGTTTTATCCTGTTTGGAAACTGCTTGTCCAAGGAGCATCAGCTATAAGAAACATGGATTTTTGGGTCTGTCATCACCCTGTAATTCAGTTAATAACTTCTGTATAGTGATATCATGTTGCGTTTTTAGATATATATATTTTTTATTTTTGCCACTCTACAGTCTTGATTGTTAGTTTTTTTTGTGCATTATGTTTTAATCATCGACAATGACTCAATGAGCACTTGCATAGCAAGTCTTTTAGATATCAAGTTGTTCTTTTGTCCACCCATTTGGGTGTATTTTGGCAATTCCTTAGAGTCCCATCCTAGTTTCTGAGCAGAATCAACTTTATTGGCCAGGTGTGTTGGACACACGAGGAATTTGAATCTGGTACATTGGCTCTCAGTGTGCATGTACATATCCCCATGCAAACAGTAAACCAGCATAAAGCTTCTTTTTTGTGAAGAATCAACAACAAGTGGGACACAATCATGAAGTGGAACGAAATTTATTGGATATTTCAAACTTTTTTAACAAATAAAAAACTGAAAAATTGGGCGTGCAAAATTATTCAGCCCCCTTAAGTTAATACTTTGTAGCGCCACCTTTTGCTGCGATTACAGCTGTAAGTCACTTGGGGTATGTCTCTATCAGTTTTGCACATCGAGAGACTGAAATATTTGCCCATTCCTCCTTGCAAAACAGCTCGAGCTCAGTGAGGTTGGATGGAGAGCATTTGTGAACAGCAGTTTTCAGTTCTTTCCAAAGATTCTCGATTGGATTGAGGTCTGGACTTTGACTTGGCCATTCTAACACCTGGATATGTTTAGTTTTGAACCATTCCATTGTAGATTTTGCTTTATGTTTTGGATCATTGTCTTGTGGGAAGACAAATCTCCGTCCCAGTCTCAGGTCTTTTGCAGACTCCATCAGGTTTCCTTCCAAAATGGTCCTGTATTTGGCTCCATCCATCTTCCCATCAATTTTAACCACCTTCCCTGTCCCTGCTGAAGAAAAGCAGGCCCAAACCATGATGCTGCCACCACCATGTTTGACAGTGGGGATGGTGTGTTCAGGGTGATGAGCTGTGTTGCTTTTACGCCAAACATAACGTTTTGCATTGTTGCCAAAAAGTTCGATTTTGGTTTCATCTGACCAGAGCACCTTCTTCCACATGTTTGGTGTGTCTCCCAGGTGGCTTGTGGCAAACTTTAAACGACACTTTTTATGGATATCTTTAAGAAATGGCTTTCTTCTTGCCACTCTTCCATAAAGGCCAGATTTGTGCAGTATACGACTGATTGTTGTCCTATGGACAGAGTCTCCCACCTCAGCTGTAGATCTCTGCAGTTCATCCAGAGTGATCATGGGCCTCTTGGCTGCATCTCTGATCAGTCTTCTCCTTGTATGAGCTGAAAGTTTAGAGGGACGGCCAGGTCTTGGTAGATTTGCAGTGGTCTGATACTCCTTCCATTTCAATATTATCGCTTGCACAGTGCTCCTTGGGATGTTTAAAGCTTGGGAAATCTTTTTGTATCCAAATCCGGCTTTAAACTTCTCCACAACAGTATCTCGGACCTGCCTGGTGTGTTCCTTGTTCTTCATGATGCTCTCTGCGCTTTAAACGGACCTCTGAGACTATCACAGTGCAGGTGCATTTATACGGAGACTTGATTACACACAGGTGGATTCTATTTATCATCATTAGTCATTTAGGTCAACATTGGATCATTCAGAGATCCTCACTGAACTTCTGGAGAGAGTTTGCTGCACTGAAAGTAAAGGGGCTGAATAATTTTGCACGCCCAATTATTCAGTTTTTTATTTGTTAAAAAAGTTTGAAATATCCAATAAATTTCATTCCACTACGTGATCCTGAGAATGACGGCAGCTGGGCAAACCGCGATGATGATCCCTTGGCGGATGAACCCCTGAAGTTCCTTGGCATAGGCAGCGCAGGTGGGCCCGAGTCTGTGGGCTCACTTCCCTCCATTGCTGGCTTCCTCGGCTGTCCCCTTGACACCATTGGTCGACATGGATGCTGGTGGAGACAAACTTTGTCTGGCTCAGCAACACGCTCCCACTGTCGATCAGCCTCTGGCCTTCATGTATCTGCTCCACCATCTGCCAGACATCATCAGAAAGGCAGCACGGACCGCAAGGGCATTCCTCTCTCACCGGCTGTCCCTCATCTGGCTGTTCCTCCCCCATTGGACATAATTATTTCTACAAGACAGAGCGGTAGCGCAAGCACCCTCTGTCTGGCCCGAATTTCCCACGCTCATTCTTCTCAGAAGCAGCTGGACAGCCTGGGAGCCTGCGGGGTCTGGTTACTTGCCTTGAGCCCCACACTCGGGTGCAAGGAGCGACAGACCTCGGCTTCCCCACCGTTCTGCCACTGGAGACAAGCATCTCCTCAGTCTTGCTCCTCAAGGCGATGTTCTTCGGCAGGAGGTGGTCCACTCCTCCATTCCCATGGGACCAGGTCACCACTTGCCTTTTGGACTGCATTTACCAATGCGCATCCCAGGCAGGTGCGGCGATTAACAATGTGGCACTCCTCTCTGCATCAATTTCCTCCCTTGCTGGACAACCCGGGGCTCTCCCTCGCACAGACTGCCATGGGATACGCTGAACACAATTCATTCTTTTCTTGTTGTCATGTCTAGCGACGCATTCTCCACAACGGTGCACTCAGTGGCACTGCCTTCATCCCTTTGTGTGTTCCCCACCTCCCACCCATTGGTGCGTGTTGTTGTGGAAAAATTATTTGTTAAAGCTCAGTGAATGTAAAATAAATACTTCTGAGAGTTATTACTTATTTATTCCTGCAGGAAGGAGCGATCTCTGTGTGCTTTCCATGGTACTCCTGTTCCCAGCTGTCGGTCCTACCCTGCCTGAACGTGGCTGGCTACTGACACCATTATTCTTTTGTTGTCCTCCATTCAAGGAGAAGAACAACAATGCAACCGAGCATCTGACACTTACTATGCACAGCTAATGTCTGTTTGCTCTCACAATTCAACTGTGTGTTTGTCAGGCGCACGTGCTCGCTGAGCGCACTTCCCTGCACTTATTCTCTTCTGATAAACAGAACAGCCATTCTGCCTTCTCACAATCAGGCAGTCAGGATCTGTATGGGGCATGATTGTACCTGCTTCTCAAACATGGCCTGTTGCAGGAGAGAGGATGTTGTACTTGAGCTGCTATTGCTAGATATACTGTATACGTAGGCAAGCTGTGATGTTGTTTATAAATGCCCTTGAGCTGCGATGAGCCAACAGGGCATTGACTACATCCAGCCGCGCTTTTATCCCAATAGCGACAGACGTTAGAGGGCTACACCTATACGAAATAGGCCGATGGTTATGTACAGTAACCCAAGCTTCTATGAGTATAGGCCTAGCCCTCTAAGCTGGCAGCCCTGCTGTCTCTTACCCCGCCAGCTAAAGAAAAACTGTCATAAGGAGACGATCTCAGGTCACACTGGCATTTATGCCACCATAGTGGCTTTCATACAGGGCACAGGGCATGAAAGAAACCTCTTCAGGACTGCGCATGCGCAAGGGATAAACCCAATAGCAACAGCTCTTAGAGGCCTATGCTTATACTCATAGAAGCTTGGGTTACTGTATGTAACCATCGTTCAGGGCCCCAGATATCCTAAATAATCAACAATTAAACAAGAATACAGAGGTAGAAGAGAGTGTGGGGACAAATGAAACAAAGAGGAAACAATCCATTGCATTGTGCTTATGGTCACATTGCAAGAACAACGGAGGCCAAAAAGAACCAGAGAACCAGAGTGGGAAAAGGTGTAGGCTGTGAAATGATCATACCTTGATAGGCGAGGTCTGCTCACTGCACAAGGCCAGACACATGTGGCAGTGCTGAAGAAGAAAAAGGATGGGGAAGACAGTGATCCCTGTGTGAAAATGGCAAGGAACAAAGACGAGGGAGAGAGGATGGATTAGTTTGACTTTACAGGGGGTTGCAGGAAGGTGATACCCTGACATCATTAGTTTGAGATTGGGAAGTAGAATTAGAGGTTAGTGTAAGCTAATAGTTTCTGTGTAATATGGTTGATTGTCTTGTTCTCTGACAGATGTCATGTTTGTGCTTCATTATAGACCTCTTCTTATTTACCTGCAACGGTGTTGGATGTTCTAGTCTGCATCTTAAGCTCTACTTAAGAAGCAGCTATGAGAAAACCGAGAGAACAAGCAAGGCTCCTTTATACCATTGATGGTTTTATGTGTTGATGTACTCTGGTTATGATGACTCAATCTTCTTTGTGATTGGTAAACAGATCTGCTCTGTCTCATTTATAGGACATGATGCAGAGTGTGAAAATGAGTAAATAAAGGCACTCAAACAGCTTTTTAATATTTGACAGTACTGTATGCCTGAATGTCAGCATTTGTGTTTTTTGGTGATTTCTTTCTGAACGAGGAAAGGTACTCATTTGGCTGCTTATTATCAAGTCTTGAAAGCTTTTCACCACCACCAGCACTCTTAAGTCTATGACATTGACAGAATCTCTTGCATCCCAGTGCAAATTTCTAGTGACTTGCTAATTTGTGGGTGCTATTCAAGATTTTTTTTCTTCTCAGACAGATGAAAAAAAAAAACAGCATTTCATGTTGTTTTTGGGCTTCACTGCACACACCCCCACAAGCCTGTTTTGTTCTTGCTGCATGGTTTTATTGTAGGAATAAGTCAGCCATTCATACTTGGTAATATTATCAGTACAGGAATTATGATGCACCAAGCTAATATGTAATTGTGGAAAGATTAACAAAGCAATAGAATCATGTCAGTTTAGTGGCCTGACTGCAGTGAGAGCCAAACACCTCTCACTTATTTCACAGGACCATAATGAACTGTTGTACAGTACTCTGTGTGGCCTTGTCCCTCACTGATAATAGCCCCATTGTCTCCTTTATCTTTTAAAGTTGGAGTGAAGGCAAAGCGGTTTCCTTTCTTGGAGATTGCATTATTCTTGCTATGTCTTTTCTGTTTTTTTCAATCAGGTTTTGTGTCTTTTCTTATCTCTATCTAAACATATAATAGTTGTTTATTAAAAAAAAAAAAGAAGCTGGCCTTGCACAAACCAACATGACCAATGAGAGTTTTTCTTTTTAACCCTTCTAGTTTACCATTTACAGAGGTGTATATGTGTGTATGAAGTCTCATTTCCAAGGAACAGGTGGTATCTCATTTGAGTGTCCTTGAAAATTCATTATGACAACAGAAATTGATAAAATCTGAATGGAGATCTGATCTCTCTCCCCTCTGTTTTCCCTATCACCACCCAGCAGATCCAGTTTGCAGATCAGAAACAGGAGTTCAACAAGCGTCCCTCCAAGATCGGCCGGCGTTCTTTGTCCCGCTCCATCTCCCAGTCCTCCACAGACAGTTACAGCTCAGGTAAACACTCTTTTTCTATTGTTCAGTCCCTATACCTCAGTAATTATCAGACATGCCTGTGGATATGACATGGTTTCACTACATTTTCTACAACATCTAAGATATAGAAAGTGTCCCACCTAGATGAATGGTTGGCTTATCTGTCTCCTCGCTAGCCACTTCTGTCCTTGTTTCTCTGACTCTCATTCTCACGCTTCTGATATTACAGGTCATGTGCAATTGTGGGCTCTGTGTTAGGGGATTAGAGAGAAAGAGAACTGGCAATTATTAGGTGTGCTTGAAACTGAATGGCATGAGAGACTCAAATCCTCAGTCCCATTCACAATTACATTGGTTAGAGACGAGAAAGCTGAGAAAGATAAATCTGAAAATTGCCTAGAAAAAGAGTTTTACTGACGGTCCTTTTGAGCATTGGGAACTCCTAGTTGTTGTGCAGCACAAAGGGTTTGTGTGTACACTCTGGGGATTGCTTTGTTTGTTAATTTACATTTGTGGGTGTTGCACAAAGGTTAAATAGGTAGCTAAGGGAAAGTGTGACTATGAGTGACTCATAGTAGTAGCTTCCGAAAAGATTTAAACAGCTGGACGAAGAAAGAGGGAGGCCTTTCCACAAGGCATCTCAACCAATTAAGTAATATTGTAGAGATTTCAGGTGCTCTCACAGAAACGCAGTACACTTTCATTTGACAAAAAGTCTCTTTCAGAAGTTGCTCAAATGTACTTTCATAGCAACTATACAGCCTCCTCTGCACTCTGTACCACCAGAGTACCACCTCCTGTTCATACTGGTGATTGAAAGAGTTCTTCCTAATGTGTTTTCAAGGTAGGTGATTGGATACAAAAAAATGTGCCTGGATTTGTACTGAAAAGTTTGAGGCCAATATGAGATTACAGGACTATGAGTTAGTTTGAGTGGGTAAGTTAATGTTTTAGTACAAAGTCCCTTGTCTTGTTACACCTCCACTGCAGCTTAACAGGGAAACATTGTCCAGGGAAATAGAAGCTGGAATTTTGTACTAAGTTTTTTAAAATACTTTTACAGTTTTTTGATCTTACATTGTCAAATACAAAAGGATCAAAGAACCCCAAAGATACAAATAAAAAGTAAAAAGGGGGAAGGCTGTCGGACAATTACAAAGGCAGAAAAGTTGAGTGCAACTTCCTCTTACAATGTTAATTTATTAATATCTTAAAAGTGAAGATGAGCAACACAGGTAGGTGTATCAAGTTAACTCCATGCCCTGTTGTGTAACAAAACAAAACCAAGTCTATGTGTGAGGGGGGATTTGGAACTGGGTGTACCAGGTTTGTGAAGAATTTTTGTACTAAGTTAAACCGTAACTTTGGAAGATATCCAGTTTACAGACTTACAGAAAAATTGTGAACCTATCCTTTAATCATTACAAAAAATCATGAGGTTGCCAGGCAACCTCCCAAGTTTCCTCTGACTGGAAGAATAAATTTAAATCACACTATTTTCCTCAGTGAGTTTTTACTTTAGTAGTGAGAAATTTTAGGACAGCATCAAGACCTGAGAGCACAATCTGACATGAATAACCTTGTTCTTTTCTGCCTCTCCCTTCTCTCCTCTTAATGTTTTTCTTTCCTTTCTTCTCACTTTAAAAGCAGCAGACCTTTTCAGCAGTATTCATATACTACATAAGCTACTTTACCTTTGGAGGCTCTTTGCTGCGTGTCAGCCAGTAACAGGGCATAGATCTTCCAATGGCTCCATTAACATGACTTAATCTGTGTTTGATACTGCTCAGACAGTATCCCTCCTAGTGGCAGAATAAGAAGGACAAACAGATGGATGGCAGATGGACAAATGGACTTTCAGTCAATATTAGTGGATGGCCTTAATGGGCCCCTCATGCCAAGGGTAGTTTAATAAGAAAAAAAGTTAGTATTCAGTTCTCTTACTGAGAAAAGATGAAATATTTATGCCCTGTAACTTCCCACTGGCACATTTGCAGGCAGCCATGTTTTTTAGGCAAGTGAGAAAAAGGCCCTGTGTTTCAGGAAGAAAAATCTGTAAAAAAAAAAGATAAATGACCCACAACTGTTTGCAGCATATTTCTTAAAAAATGAGAATCAGCAAAGACCTAATACACTACCAGTCAAAAGTTTGAATGCACTTTCCCATTCAGTTTAACGCTTTGTTAAACGCACCAGTGAATAGAAATTTGAACCTTAGAAAACTGGGGAGTTCCATGTCTCAAACACATCTGAGGCAGTGTGGACTGACACATTAGATTGGAGTCTTATCTGTTACATGAGAGGGGCCAGTGACAAAATGCTCTTTGAGAATTGGCCTTGACTTGTAACAGCCAAGAAAAATACACAGATAAAGTAAACTCTCCCATCAGAAACAAGTCATGGGTACAGTGTCTATAAAAAGTATTCCCCCCTTGGATGTTTTGCCCTTTTATTGATGGTATAAATATGTATGTCTGTGTGTCAGTTTGGCTTTTTTGACAAAACAATTTTACAAACAACCTCTTTAATTTCAAAGTGAAAACAAAGTAATATTCATTATATAAAAACATGTAATTGGAAATAAGTGATTGGATAAATATTCTCCCCCTTCATCAATATTTAGTAGATGCACCTTTGGCTACAATCACACAGGCTTGCACACCTGGACACTAATTTTACACCATTCTACTATGCAAAACTGCTCAAGCTCTGTAAATTTGCACGGCGAATCAGGCGTTTTAAGAGCCCTTTAAGTCCAGCCACAAATTTTCTATTGGATTGAGGTCTGAGCTTTGACTCGGCCTCTCCAGAACACTCACCTTGTTGTCTTTAAACCATTTGTGTAGTTTTCACTGTGTGCTTTGGGTCATTGACTTGCTGGAAAATAAAACTTCTTCAAAGCCATAGTTCTCTTGCAGTTTGAATAAGATTGTCCTCCAGGATTTGCCTATATTTTGCCGCATTCATTTTACCCTCTACCTTTACAAGCCTTCCAGGGCCGGCTGCAGAGAAGCATCCACACAGCACTTGACCATGGAGTCTCCCGCATGCCTTTTGGTGAACTTTAGTCGATATTTAATACGAGTTGTCTTCAACAGTGGCTTTCTCTTTGCCACTCTCCCATAAAGCTTTGACTAGTGAAGAACCCAGACAACAGTTGTTGTATGCAGAGTCTCTCCCATCTCAGCTGCTGAAGCTCGTAACTCCTTTGAAGTCACTGGTGTCTTGGTGGCGTCTCTCATGAGTCACCTTCTTGCACGGTCACTCAGTTTGTGAGGGCGGCGAGATCCAGGCAGATTTAGACATGTCCCATGTTCCTTTCATTTCTTGATGATGGATTTAACTGAACTCTGGGAGATGTTTAGTGCCTTGGACATTTTTTTTTTGTATCAATCCCCTGACTTATACTTTTTAATAACCTTTTCTCTGAGCTGCTTGGAGTGTTCTTTTATCTTCATGTTGTAATGGTAGCCAGGAATACTGATTAACCAGTGACTGGACCTTCCAGACACAGGTGTCTTTATACTACAATCACTTGAGACACATTCACTGCACTCTGGTGATCCACATTTCACTAATTGTGAAACTACTAGCACAATTGGCTGGACCTCTGTTGAATCAGGTCATTTTAAAGGAGGTGAATATTTATGCAATTACATATTTTTATTTAATTGACATTACTTTGCAGAAAGCTGTTTTCACTTTAACATTAGAGGGGTTTTTTGTAATTGTTTTGTCAAAAAAGCTAAATTATATTGACCATGATCAATCTATAAAATCAATAAAATGTCAAGGATTCCCAATACCAGTACTAGCCCGGTTAATTGGCGGACTCTATTACAATGATAGACGAGTAAAGGTGAAAACAGTCTTACAGAAAGCATAATAAACACGAAAAAACACTCACAGGTCGGGAACACAGTCCAAGGTCAGAACCAACAAACTCACACAGCTGAGAGATCTGAAGTGAGGGGTCGGAGAGGGAAGTCCGATAGCTGAATACCAGGAAAACAGTCCAAAACAGAAGGGCAAGGCAATATTCAGTGCTCAAAGGCAATCCAATGTCATAACAGGAAATACAGGCATGAGAAGAAACGCTGGAAAGTCTGAACATGGGTCTAGAACAATCTGGCAGCTGCCTGGTGGGACTCAGCTGCCTAAATAGGTGTGAAAACAGGTGCAAACAATCAGAAGCAGGTGAAAACAATGAGGACTGAACAAAGTAAAAATTGCAAAACTGAGGTGAAACAAACAGGAAGTAATGGCAAAATAAAAGCACGAGAACGGAAACGGGCAGGACAGAATTATGACATAAGAGGCTTAAAACATCTAAGGAGGTGAATACTTTTATAGATACTGTATGGAATTATTCTAGATTAAAAAGAACACACACAGCAGTAAGTCTGCGTGTTTTAAACAAAATTCCTACTCAATAAGGAGCTCAATAAATATTTTAACACTTGTTACATTTTAGTTAATAAAAATATAATTGTGTGAAATAGGTAGGTAATATAGCTTGATATCAATCGCAGGCCCCTGAATCGAATCGAATCACTATCGCATCGTGGCATATTTTTAAGTATGGCAAACATCGGATTGCTGGTAGAGCGAATCAATATAGGATTGTATCATGATGAGAGTGGCAATTTTTACCCCTAGTAGCTTGTATGTTTGATATTTGGAGAGAGGTGGACATGTTCCCAATCCCTGCCACTAAATCTTTTTTCTCTTCTCTTCTTCTTTCTTTTCATGTTCTTTTGTTTTTTCCTCTCACTTCAGCTGTTAGTCTTCTCCTTATACACATCCATCCTGCAGGCAGCTGAAGACTAAATCATGCCACCTCACGAGGTTCTTCCTTGCCATTTAGTTGTCACATCATGAGTGAAATAATGATATGGATTTTTTTTTTCTCTTACGTATTGAGACTGAGATGAGAGCACTTAGTCTGCATTTATCTCACTCAGTGAATTAACAAGCTATTTTTTGTCTGCAGGTTTTGCTAAGTGAATTAATTGTCAGTGTTGCCAATAATAAGACGATCCTCTGTACTTATCTCTCTTTCTACTTCATACTTGGACTTCACTACATTTTAGAAGCATATATTGTACTTTTTACTCTGGTAATTTATTTTGCAACTTTAGTTACTAGTTACTTTTCACAACCAGATTAAGACAAAAAAAATACAGTATAATACAGTGCCTTGCGAAAGTATTCGGCCCCCTTGAACTTTGCGACCTTTTGCCACATTTCAGGCTTCAAACATAAAGATATAAAACTGTAATTTTTTGTGAAGAATCAACAACAAGTGGGACACAATCATGAAGTGGAACGAAATTTATTGGATATGTCAAACTTTTTTAACAAATAAAAAAACTGAAAAATTGGGCGTGCAAAATTATTCAACCCCCTTAAGTTAATACGTTGTAGCGCCACCTTTTGCTGCGATTACAGCTGTAAGTCACTTGGGGTATGTCTCTATCAGTTTTGCACATCGAGAGACTGAAATTTTTGCCCATGCCTCCTTGCAAAACAGCTCGAGCTCAGTGAGGTTGGATGGAGAGCGTTTGTGAACAGCAGTTGTCAGTTCTTTCCACAGATTCTCGATTGGATTCAGGTCTGGACTTTGACTTGGCCATTCTAACACCTGGATATGTTTATTTGTGAACCATTCCATTGTAGATTTTGCTTTATGTTTTGGATCATTGTCTTGTTGGAAGACAAATCTCCGTCCCAGTCTCAGGTCTTTTGCAGACTCCATCAGGTTTCCTTCCAGAATGGTCCTGTATTTGGCTCCATCCATCTTCCCATCAATTTTAACCATCTTCCCGGTCCCTGCTGAAGAAAAGCAGGCCCAAAACATGATGCTGCCACCACCATGTTTGACAGTGGGGATGGTGTGTTCAGGGTGATGAGCTGTGTTGCTTTTACGCCAAACATAACGTTTTGCATTGTTGCCAAAAAGTTCGATTTTGGTTTCATCTGACCAGAGCACCTTCTTCCACATGTTTGGTGCGTCTCCCAGGTGGCTTGTGGCAAACTTTAAACGACACTTTTTATGGATATCTTTAAGAAATGGCTTTCTTCTTGCCACTCTTCCATAAAGGCCAGATTTGTGCAGTATACGACTGATTGTTGTCCTATGGACAGAGTCTCCCACCTCAGCTGTAGATCTCTGCAGTTCATCCAGAGTGATCATGGGCCTCTTGGCTGCATCTCTGATCAGTCTTCTCCTTGTATGAGCTGAAAGTTTAGAGGGACGGCCAGGTCTTGGTAGATTTGCAGTGGTCTGATACTCCTTCCATTTCAATATTATCACTTGCACAGTGCTCCTTGGGATGTTTAAAGCTTGGGAAATCTTTTTGTATCCAAATCCGGCTTTAAACTTCTCCACAACAGTATCTCGGACCTGCCTGGTGTGTTCCTTGTTCTTCATGATGCTCTCTGCGCTTTAAACAGACCTCTGAGACTATCACAGTGCAGGTGCATTTATACGGAGACTTGATTACACACAGGTGGATTCTATTTATCATCATTAGTCATTTAGGTCAACATTGGATCATTCAGAGATCCTCACTGAACTTCTGGAGAGAGTTTGCTGCACTGAAAGTAAAGGGGCTGAATAATTTTGCACGCCCAATTATTCAGTTTTTTATTTGTTAAAAAAGTTTGAAATATCCAATAAATTTCGTTCCACTTCATGATTGTGTCCCACTTGTTGTTGATTCTTCGCAAAAAATTACAGTTTTATATCTTTATGTTTGAAGCCTGAAATGTGGCAAAAGGTCGCAAAGTTCAAGGGGGCCGAATACTTTCGCAAGGCACTGTATATAAGATGTCATAGATCTATGGTGGAATATTCACAAGCTACCTAGAAGTAATTCAAATTAAATGCATATAGGCTAGTTAAAACTATCTCCCTCTAGCTGCAGCTTTAAATGTGATGTACACAATAATGCATCAGTAATTATAATACAATAATGTGATATACAGGAATGCGAAATGTGCCATTCTACATAATGAGTACTTTGCCTTTTAGTACTTCACACATATTTTGATGCTAATACTTTTGTACCTCACCTATGGCCATGAACTTTGGCTCATGACCGAAAGAATGAGATTGCGGATACAAGTGGCAGAAATGAGTTTCCTCCGGAGAGTGGCTGGGCGTGCGCTTAGTGATAAGGTGCGGAGCTCAGTCACCCGTGAGGAGCTCAGAGTAGTGCCACTGCTCCTCCACGTTGAGCAGAACCAATTGAGGTGGCTCAGGCACCTGTTTAGGATGCCCCCTGGACGTCTTCCTGGGGAGGTACTCCGGGCATGTCCCTCCAGGAGAAGGCCTCGGGCCAGACCCAGGACACATTGGAGAGACTATGTCTCATGGTTGGGGACATGAACGCCTTGGGGTTCCTCCTGAGGAGGTAGAGGAGGTGTGTGGGGAGAGGGAGTCTGGGGGGCTCTGCTCGGGCTACTGCCCCCGCGACCTGGCCTCGGATAAAGAGGATGAAGATGGATGGATGGATGGATGGATTTTTGTACTTTTACTTCAGTAAGATTCTGAATGCAGGACTTTAACTTATAGCATTTTTGCACTGTTGTATTGCTACTCTTACATGAGTAAAGGATCTGAGTACTTCTTCCACCACTGGTTCTAAATGTATTTTAAAGGGACCCCTAGGTAACTGTGATTATTGAGAAGTCCAGTAGTCTCCGGTGAGTGCAACCATGTTAGTCTGTCCCACTGCTTCCTCCACTTTAGCTTTCTTGTCTTCATACAAGTTGTGTATCTTGGTTACAGTGGTAGCTCTCTAAGGCAATTCATATGTACATTCTTTGGATGCGATGCAAATTATTTCAAGCAGTCCCTTGTTCTCAACAATGTTAATCAGCCTGCAAGCTGTAGCCAACCATTTAGCTATCGCTGTTGAAAGTTCGTTTCTTGTAGAGTTGTCCAGGCGTCTGAGTTATTGCAAATAACTTTGGCCTTGTCGAGGGAACCACCTGGCAGGGCTTTGAAGCTGAGCTTGCCATTCAAAAGACCTTTTACTCTACCCATTTCTGCTCATTTCTGCTGCTGCATTGCTTCCTGATTTCCCAAAATACAGGGAAGCCTTTCCCTTCCTGGCACAGTACAGCATGTTCTTTAACTTCAGTTTTGTATTAGTGTTCGCCATGTACCTAGTCTTATCTGGTGATGCTCTACTGTCATTTTGAATGGGTGGTAGGAATGATGTTGGCATCATTTACCCACTCTACAAAAGAAGGACCACACCTGTGTGGTGAGTCAGCCTGAGGCACAGGAACTATACATTGCTGGTGCCAGATGTGGAAGCATGTTCTTACTGAGTATGCTGTGGGCGCTGCTCACAAGAAGTACACAGAAACATCTCTATGACATTATTCTTTTTATCTGCTACATTTGTTTTGTGTTTACTTTGTACAGCATGACTGTTTTGGAGAGAAACTTGGGTCTCTCAGTTTGAGAAAAGAGTTTTTCACACAGCATTATATTTCAATTAACGCCGTTTGGTGAGCTGAAACAGTGGCCTGCCAAAGTCAAGCTGCAGGTTGGGGAAAAGTTCTATTCAGGGTGAAGAAAATGAAGGCAGATTGTGTTTGTTCTGTAGCTTGAATCCTAAAAACTGGATAAAATAATCTTGTTAAAAACAAAATCCTGTTTTGAATATGTTTATAAAAGCATTATAACTGCAATGATTAGTAGATTAATTGACAAAAATTAGTCAGCAATTAGTTTGATAATCATTTTGATAACTTCTTATGCAAAAATGCCACACATGTTGGCCCCATCATCTCAAATGTGAGAATTTGATGATGGTTTGGGTTTTAAACTTCTGACTGGACATGTGAAGATATAATCTTTGGATATGGGACATTTTATCAGTTTTTCCCCCACTATTTTCTTGGCAATTTAGATGTGAAATGATTCATTGAGAAAGCAATTAGAAAATGAATTGGTTATGAAAATAATAATTTGTTGTGGCCCTAAAAAAAGTTCTTATTCATAGTGACGTGTGGCAGTTTTGTACCTTTATGTGTGTGTGACATACTGACATTGGTGGTGTCTGTGTGTTGTTAGCGGCATCGTACACGGACAGCTCTGATGATGAGACATCTCCTCGGGACAAACAGCAGAAGAACTCCAAGGGCAACGGAGACTTCTGCATCAAAAACATCAAACAGGCCGACTTCGGACGCAGAGAGATTGAGATCGCCGAGCAAGGTAAACCAAAGAACTGTCTGCTCACTTTAAAAAGAAGAAACTTGAGGCTCAGCGGTTTACGGGGTAGTTGCAGGTTGGTAGCCAAATTTCCATCCAGATGTAGCAGAAATGTTTACCAAATTTCCAAAAAATTTGCAGAAGAAAAAAAAATCCACTTGGCCATTTAGTGGAAGTTGACATCACGAGTCCATTCAAAATGTGCTTTTACTGTATATGTATGTGTGTGTGTGTGTGTGTGTGTGTGTGTGTATATGGCATGGCACTGCCTTCTACAATGCTGGGAGGACAGACTGAATGTCCCCTGCCACTACAAGTGCAAACACAATCTAAAAATGAACACTCATTATTCCTGTCATTCCCTAATTACTTCACAGACGATAACAGAGAGCCTCAGCTGGAACCCTGCAGCCTACACACATACACACAATGTATGCTCAGCATTAGCAACTCTTTCAGCTTGTTGTCCTTAACTATCCAGCTGATTCCTGTTTGCGTGCGTGCGTGTTTCCTTGTCCTTTTTCAGAGATGCCTGCCCTGATGGCTCTGCGGAAGCGAGCCCAAGGAGAGAAACCCCTCGCTGGTGCCAAGGTGGTGGGCTGCACCCACATCACTGCCCAGACTGCTGTGAGTAGAAATACAAAAACACACACTCACTCACAGCCCAAACAGTGTTCATACACTGACACTTGGGCAGCTATACAAATTTAAGTCAAACTTGACACCTCTTTTTTTTGTGTGTGTGTGTCCTCAGGTGCTGATGGAGACTCTGTCAGCATTGGGAGCTCAGTGTAGATGGGCAGCCTGTAACATCTACTCCACCCAGAATGAAGTGGCAGCTGCCCTGGCAGAGGGAGGTTAGGCAACTTCATTTTCTGCCTCTGCCTGATTTTTTTCTGTTTCACTCATCTGCTGTGTATAAAAAACTTCCCGTCTCTTTCTAGGTTTCAATGTATTTGCATGGAAGGGTGAGTCAGAAGATGACTTCTGGTGGTGCATTGATCGCTGTGTCAACGTGGAAGGCTGGCAACCCAACATGGTAGCACACCTACATTCTAAATAAAATCTACTAAAGCACGAGAGAATTACCTTTCACTTATCAATCATACAGTCCCTGGTGAAAGCACATAAAGTCCATCGGCCATTTTCACCAGACTACTAGCCCTTTTTAAAAGCAATGGATCTATTTTTACTTGTTTCCTGACACTATGAACACTATTAACCACAGAAATAGGTTATTTAAATATTTTTATGGCATTAATCTTAAAAATATATTATGTACCTTTAGATATTTCTTTTGCTTGAATGTTAAATTAAAAAAACAACTGAATGGAAAATCACTTTTGTAGTCAAATAACACGTTTGAGACGTCTGTTTTCTCTCACTTCTACTCCCCATCTCTGATTGTCTGTCAGATCTTGGATGACGGTGGAGACCTCACCCACTGGATCTATAAAAAATACCCTAATATGTTCAAAAAGATCAAGGGCATTGTAGAGGAGAGCGTTACCGGTGTACACAGGTGGGACTTGCAACAAACCTACATTCTCATCCTTGTGGTTTTCCTAAATAGTATTTCTTGTAAAGTCTAAAATATCACAACAGATTAAAACTATTGATTATTTTAAATTAGAGTAAGAGAATGTACAAGTATATTTTCAGACTCTTACTGTACTTACACAGTTTCTGGTGTGGTAACAGTGCCATCTAGTGGTGAAAACATTGCCCATTAACTAATATTAAGAAACAAGTATGAAGTAGAATAATAGAATATTTATTCTTCATTAAATTCTAACTTATAAAACTGTCTAAAAAATGAGTTTCTTAATATTTATGAATGTTGGGTGTTTGATTTGTGTTTGCAGGTTGTACCAGCTGTCAAAGGCAGGAAAGCTGTGTGTCCCAGCCATGAACGTTAACGATTCAGTGACCAAGCAGAAGTTTGACAACCTCTACTGCTGCAGGGAGTCCATCTTAGACGGGTATGGAACAGTCTCTGCTTCAACCTTATTAGAGATTACAAAATTCTTGCCATTTGAACACTTAGTGTTGCAGGGCAATTACACCTGCTTCCTCTCTGCTTCACACAGCCTGAATAAGTACAGTATTAGGCTGGCAGTGAAATAACTGTTTTGTCTCCTTAGCCTGAAGAGGACCACTGATGTTATGTTTGGGGGCAAACAGGTGGTGGTGTGTGGATATGGAGAGGTAAGACTGACGTGCTCACACAGGTGTACACACAATGCTTGATTAATGAAGCTGTCTCCTCTTTCCTGAAATGCAAGTCACGTGAAATCACATCCAGATTAAAATCTATCAACTTTTGTTGCCTCCCTTTTAAGTGATCTAAGCAACTAGGGACAGGGATGGTCACATACAGTTTAGTATTCAACATTTTTTGTATTCAAAATGTTGTCTTGAAATTCATTAATACAGAACAGATCAACAGAGAACTTTGTGCACATTCTCAGGCCAGCTGTGTGTTGAAAGCTTTTGTAAGAAAATGATTATTTCAGCTGCAGCTAACAGTCATTTTCAGTATGGACAGATTTGCCGATTATTTTTCTGGATCAATTGTTTCATTTATAAAATGTCAAAAAATAATAAAAATGCCCAATACAGTTTCCTAAGGGTTTAGTCATCATATTACTTCTATTGTCTGAAGATATTCAGTTTACTATCACATAAGTCAAAGAAAGCATAAAATTCTAACAAATGAGAAGCTGTGACTCGGAGATGTTTGGCATTTTTGCTTGGAAAATGACGAGCAATTATCAAAATACAGTAGTTATTGATCATCTTAGTGATTAATAGTTTAATTGTTGCATCTCTAGATTATTTGTACCATGCCAGGGTGCATAGTTTCCTGTCCTCTGGTCCTGGTCCAAATTAATAGATAAGTAAGCATTTCAAACCCGATCCACTTCTACTTGAATTGTTTCGGCAAATTTTACGGACACCTTACACAACAGTAAATAAAAATTCTGCATTATTAGGATGGGTTACTCTAGTTTAAATCAAGCTCCAGACAGTGGCAGTGTATCATGCATTTTTCTTTCCTTTGGACCAAATCTGGAAGACCTACTTGAGCCCCACATGCAGTCGTTCATTTTCACCCTTGGCATTGACTGTCTAGCCACTGACCCACACAACAGGTGTCGGGTGACATTATGATTTTTCCTTTGATTATGTGTATTTATTGTCCTGTATGTTAATGTCCTTATCTACATCAGGTTGGAAAAGGCTGTTCTGCTGCCCTCAAAGCAATGGGCTCCATTGTTTATGTCACAGAGATCGACCCCATCTGTGCTTTGCAGGCCTGGTGAGATTCCACTTGTTAATTTTCTTATTGCTCACTGCTGATGCTGACATAGCCTTAGTCTTACACTCTTTATTTTCCTTTTCCCAACCACAGCATGGACGGCTTCCGGCTGGTGAAGCTGAACGAAGTCATCAGACAAGTAGACATTGTCATCACCTGCACAGGTTGGTTCTGCCTCTTCCTCGCTCTATTTTTCTGTCTCTATCCAGGAGAATCCCTTTTTCAGTTCTAGCTGGTAAACTTGACATTTATAAATAATTCAGCATCATAATCACTGCTTTGCTGACTAAATCGCCTCATAACAGTTGTACAGGGATTTGTCCTGTTGGCTTTTGTGTGGGACATAATCCACAGCTAAGTGTGTATAAATAAAGCAGGTGTTACACAGGGGGGATAGAAGCCTCTATTCTTCACATTTGGAAAGACAGAAAACCGATTTTTATCTTATCTTGTCACTGTCCCTTCAGGGTAACAACACAAATATTCAGTCAGTGCCATCAGTTTGCAACGGTTCCCAGGGAGTTTTCCTGAACACTTAACTGGAGCCCAGAATTACTCATCTGTCTTCATTAGCTTACACTGCTGGCTGTCTTTAGGAGGAAAGTGCAGTTAAACAGAAAAGATAATAAAAACGATAATAAGGTAGTAGAAGATACTTGATATTTGAGAAAGATTTTCCCTAATAAAATGTCTAAGCGCTATGAAATAAATAAAGCATTTGCACTAATTAGTTCATGTAATTTCATAAAGGTCTGATCATTGGAGCCCTTGCAGCAAAATTCAGAATGCATATGTTTGATTCTTAGCAAATTAATAATGCTGCAGTAGAGATTTATGGTCAGAATAAGTTATAAGGTAATATTAAATCAAAAATATCTTTTAAAGCCAGAGTGATAATTGCTATAATGAAATCCCACAGTTAAATAAATTATGAAATTTAAATGTTTTTTGTGGATTAGTGCTGTTAATAACATTAGTATTATATTTTTGTTTCATCTGCATGTTTCAGATGTGTAAAAATATATCTTGAGATATATAAAATCAATATAAAGAGTTGTTTTTGTTATAGATTTTTGCTCATTTTTATCAAAATATCTGATAGTCTTCATTTAAGATGTCTTAGAGGCATGTACAGAGCCATAAAAATGTACTATGCTGATAGGTGGAACACTCAAACAAAATTTCATTTTCATATTTAATTAATTATGGTTAAGTACTGAGATAAGAACAAATAATCAAGTATGGTGAAGTCCACAGTTCTACACTGGGTTTTTGAACTGAATTTAGGTTTGTCTGCCTGGTAGTATTAATGATCTCCACAGATTAACAAAATATTTCTTTACAACACATCATCTTGCTCTTTGTTCATTTGACCCTATCTTTTTCCTTTTCACCCTTTTCCCCCTGCTCCAGGCAATAAGAACGTAGTGGTGAGAGAGTATCTCGACCGCATGAAGAACGGCTGCATTGTCTGCAATATGGGACACTCCAACACTGAGATCGATGTGGTCAGTTACCAGCTAGCACAAACTCTAAATGCATGTTTATATTTGTTTCATTTGGTTTTTAAAAGGCGTGTTAAAACAATACAAGTGAGAGTGTCTAGTTTAGTTCAAACAAGCAATTCTTTTAGAGGAGCCCAAAACCAAGAGACATTATCAAATGCCAGAGCGTAACAAAAACTGGTGATTCAGAAACAGACCGTTTTTGGTGTGACAGCATGTAGAATGTCTGTAAAGCTTGACCCTCAGCAGTGATTGTTTCATGTTGTCATGATAGCTGGTTGCTATTGAAAGGCTTGATCCATAACCTGCCATAGTGGTCAAAATTAGGCTAGTGCCATTGAACCATATATGAGTCTTCAAGAAAGTAGAGCAGTTCTTATCCTCAGGTAGCTGATAACTTGGGGTTTTAAAACTACTTTGCATGCAGTATTTTACTTCTGCTGATACAACTTAGACTTTTTAGGCTTGAATTCACTCCAAGCTTAATTTTGAAATAAACCTAAAGGCAGTAGCTGAATTACATTAGGCTTTTAGATTATGCCCTCATGCAATGTCTTTATTAAGGGCAACCAGTAATAAGAAGCACAAAGATATGGGTTGTGGTGCTATGACTGTGTTCCTCTTACCACAAAATGGTAAGACAGAAGTGCTAGAAATGGGAAAAAAATACAAGAGCGGCGATGGATTTTTTTTCTTTTTTTAAGACAGCAATCAGTGGTTATGAAGGAAGTGGTTTAGACATAACAGGAAGTTGTGACTCATTTCTTAAAGTACTTCAGTCCTGGAAAAGACCAAGCATATTTAGTCAACTCTGGCCATGATGATAGATGCGTAACTGTTCCCAAGAGAAATAGGAAGATGAGAGAAAAGACTACCAAAAACAAATCATTTCTCATGCTGTTTTGTTTGTCTTGTAGGCAAGCCTGCGCACTCCTGAACTGACCTGGGAGAGGGTGCGCTCTCAGGTAGACCACATCATCTGGCCTGATGGCAAGAGGATAGTGCTCCTGGCTGAGGTACACACACAAAGGCACACACACCTACCCAAAGGTAGGTGTGTTTTAACACGCCTCAATTTCAAATTTGAAATTGGGTATTGAGACTATTATTCAAATACTCAGAAATGAATTGTAGGTTCACACTCGGTATTTTCAAATCTAAGCAACAAATTAAGACTGTTGAAAATCTAACATTTTGAGGGCGCATATAGGCACATATGCACACACACAGCTACAGTATGTATATATGCATTATTAATGCATATACATTAAGAGTTTGTGTGTGTGTGATGAGCTGTGACAGAATGAGAGCTGACACCCATGTCCCTGCTGATGTTTGATCTGCAGAAGGTTTTACCACCATCAGTATCACAGCTCCTCCATCCTCACCTTCCCTGCCTCCAGATCTCATGCTGTTCCAGAAGTCCTGAACCCAAATAGTTCTTCCAGAAATGTCACTTATTACAAATATCGCATTAATAAAGAATATCTGAAATGAAGAGAATTTTGATAGGTTTTTTTTTACAATTTAAAAGTAATCTTTAATAGAAAACCTGACAAGAGGATCAATTTTTTTTATTGCTCTTTGTTTTACAATGCGAAAATATATACTTGACGTACTGGACTTCACTGATAACCAGAGTGACAGGTCCTAGCTATAGAAGTTCTTTGTGCACAGAATAGTCAAAACGACTCAGTGAGAGAACAAAGAATAAAGCTTCGTCCATAATTAAAGCACACATCCTTTTTAGAGTGTGGGAGTAATGGGACAAAATAAAGGTATTAATTAACAGTTTAACAGTTTTAATTCTGTTTTCATCATGCAACAATAATAGACTTTCTCTGTGCCTCCACCTTTTAGCTGCAGTGTTTTAGTTTTACATATGACCTCATTTCCTAAATTCACTCACTGCAATGCAGCATCCCATACAGCAACAGTTCAGAGAAAAACAAATGTGTGGATATTAACACTTCTTTAAGTATATGATGACGCACCACATTAACTCTCAAAGAAGATGAGGAGAAATGAACTTGTTAGTCTTAAAAGCATAAGTTGTGATTTTAAATGCCATGTGTTACTCTTCAAAAACTCTTAACTGGGATTATGGTGGTTTTACACTGTACATCAGGAATCAGAGTTAAGAGCCAGTGTGTTTTCTCTTATATACTTTAACCTTGTATCTCTTTCTTCCCCTCCAGGGTCGTTTGCTGAACCTCAGCTGTTCCACTGTGCCCACTTTTGTTCTCTCCATCACTGCCACCACCCAGGTGAACCACACTGGAATAAATTGTCCCATTTATGTCACTGTACATGACCAGTTTTGTTTTTACTTGAAGTTTTGTGCATTGCTCTCACTTTTTTTATTTGAGAAAGAGGCACAGAAACAAGAAGTTGTGGTTGTGAGTAAATAATGTGTGTGTCTCTGTCCAGGCTCTGGCTTTGATAGAGCTGTACAATGCCCCTGAGGGACGCTACAAACAGGATGTTTACCTGCTACCTAAGAAGATGGGTAAGATGTATGAGTTTAAATGTGTTAATGGAATAAAACTTGAAAGAAGAAAAACAACTTGTACTACAATACAAAAAAAATTTAAATACAAATACAAATATAAATGGCAGATCCCAGGCTGAAGGGACCTTGTTTGGCCCTTAAGTAGCCACCAAGCAGGGAGATGAACAGGAAGTGAATACACAATTTGTTTTTGCCCCAACAGAGAGTCTGGGGACATGTTGCATTTATCTCTGTAGACAGTACAGTCTGTCTCCTCTGTTCAGTTCAGAGTTGTCTCCCAGGCTAGCCAGTCATTCACAGTAGAAAAGGTCCTGTGTGTCTGCGCACATATTTGTCTGCCAGCGGTGCCTGTCATATTTCTTAGCGTTCTGTTGGTGGACAAGAGAAACACGCACACATAGTCAAGAAAAACTGAGCCAAATGTAGGTCATCCTGTCAGTAAGTGCTACCACAGTGCACACAGACAGAAAGATGATTGAAAGAAGGAATGAGGGGAATGACTGAGATGAAAAAAGAAGGATGAGAAGAGGAAAGCTAAAGTGGAGAAAGAAGGTGACAGAAGACAATATTTGTTGCAGAGGAAGAAAGACGATGAGAGATGGTAAATCCCAGTGCCTCTCTGCTACTCCACTTCCTTGTCTCATTTCAGTGATTAATCAACTGCAGATGACTGGTGAATGCTAACATGCTATTCCTCTCTTTTGCCTCCAGATGAATATGTGGCCAGCCTTCATCTCCCTACATTTGATGCACATCTTACAGAACTGACTGAAGAGCAGGCCAAGTATCTGGGCTTGAACAAGAACGGGCCTTTTAAGCCAAACTACTATAGGTATGAAAATAATTTGGATATTCAACAGATGTTCCTATAAACCAAAAAAGACCTATGGGATTGGGTTTTGATAGTATTTTCATTTAATATAAATCCTGCATCAGTTTTTTAATGACTACCATCCTAACTAGTGTGCTTTGTTTTTCTCTTTAAGGTATTAAACCAGTGCTGAGGCTGTACTGAGGAAATACCAATACTTCGAGAATCGCACAGATGTGTAGAGGGAGAGGAGAGGTATGATAAGGAGGACAGAAAGAAGGATGAACTGAAGGATTGACAGAATAGTCAACACACCTGCATTATATATCTTTTGGGGGGCTTTCTCTGCACTTATGGCAGTAATTTTATTTATACACACTTGACAACAGTAACATTAATTCTATGGAGCTGCTCCTGCCATTTGCCGATACCTGGCGTTGTCTTGTGGGAGGTGTTTGACTTCCCTTACTTTCATGTTTCACAACCGTTATCTCTTTTCTCTCATTCGTGTGTTAAGCTGTATGTAAGCCCTCCATCCTCCCTTCCCATTGCCAGATCTTTTAATTGTTTAAATATTAAAGATGGTATTATTGGCGCTAAATGATATATACTCTATATAAAAAAAATGATTAAAAAAATGTGTGTGAATGATGACGTTATTTGAAGATTTAGTGATTTAAATTTTTTCCTGTCTTTTTTTGTTGTCTTTTCTACTGGTGATTATATTTTTGTTTTCTCTTGTGTAATATTTGCAAGACTGGGGTTATACATGGTGGGAGGGGGTTAGGCAGGGTCTCAGGGTCCAATCATATCATGTCCTTTATTTGATGTCATGGAGATTCACCATTGTGTCTGTTTTTAAACATTTTTTTATTATGCCTTCTCCCCCTTCAGATCAGCCTGCTTCTTTCTTGGCTTTCAGCTGCTCACATAGCACTAGTGTTGACATAATGAAAAGTATTGCAAACTAGTCCTTTACCAACAATGACTGTACTGTATTAAAAGCATGATAAGTTAGCAGATCATTATGAGATCATTATGAAGGGTGTAATGTATATTTAGATATTTAAATAAAAAAAAATCTCTCCTGTGGCATCTAATATAACTTTTGAGAGAAAATCAATTTGTCATAAAGATAAGCAATCAAAAGTTCTAATGAAAGTATAATAAATGTACTTAAACCTTCATTTTTTTAATACTGTGACAAAAACGTATACCAAATGTGCAGCAAGTAGTTTTCAGTCCAGTACTTGCGCATATTTCTTTGATCAGGTTGTCCTTGAAAGGTATGGTGCTGTCTAGATTTACTGTACTTACCATACACAACACAACTCTTTGGTACTCACAAGTCAGGACATAAAAACAGTCATGTTTTATCTTGTTTCCATCCAAGAAACTTCTTACAAATGCGTGTGCATTTGCTTTTAAAGGTAATTTCGACCTTTTCCCACCTGAGTCATTCACCTTTCCAGTATAACGAGCTGCACAGTCATCCCCAGCTGGCCAGATGGTGGAAGTTAGAAAGTCCTAACAGGCATCTAGGCTGACAGCCAATTGCACCCCGTCGCTAGACCGGCTCTGCACCAGAACCAATCAGATTCTCTGCTAGCCTGCTGGGAAATGACGCCAGCTCTTTTTTTCACAGACTGGGATGGCAGTAATTCATTATCATTATCCAGGTCTTAAAATGTACTGTATGTGGAAAATACATTTAATCATTTTACATATTTAAACTGGCAGACATGGCACAGAAACTTTACCAGCTAAATAAATACTCAAGATACATACACTTGCAAAATTCATGCTTTTTTTGTGTGTGAATATATCATTAATGTAAATAATATTTAATACCAGGAATACTTTGACATTTTATTAAGTATGGCTATTCACTGTCTTGCTGCAAAGTTAAGAGGATCAGAACCACTTTGTTTGTTAAATATGCTTAGCTTAGCATAAAAACTTGAAATAGAGAAAAAGGTTCACCTGGGTCTGTCCAGTAACAAAATCAGCATCACCTGGCCTTTATGCTAAATTAAGGTAACCAGCTGCTGGCACCAGTGGCACAGTATTTAGCATAAATTCATTAGTGGTATACATTTTTGATCTAATTCTCAACAAGAAGAAATGTATTTCCCAAAATATCAAACTATTTGGTTTAAAATTTCTAGGTGTCTGTGCACCTCTCAGATAAACTTCTTACTCTACGTCCATATGCCACAAAGTAAGGACAAGATCTTGTACTGTGTCATAGCCCATGCAACCTCACCGTCACACTATTCCCTGAAGATGTCTGTGCATTTCTCTCCTTGTGCTGTTGAGAAAGTAGTGTGACCTGTTGTCAGCATCCAGTAGTTCTTAAAGCTGTCTTAAGTCTTTTCCCCCTTTTGTAAGGTGTGAATGTGTGCATTAAAGAGTATTTGAACTCTTGAGAGAAAACAGAGGTGATTATAGCTGATGTGTGTGTGGCTCTCTGTCTTTATTTGTACATATCCTTTTTTTTTTGTAGTCCATGGTTACTTTAACACCTGTCTCAGGATCGTAGCCTGTGCATTAGTTGGAGAAACCTTTGTTTTTGTTTTTGTTTTTTTTTTTGGTCAGTCATAAACTGACAACACATGGGTGGGTGGGGGGAGACACCAGCATCATATATGTATATACATATTATATACAAATATGACAACCTTTAAAAAGTATAGGAAGGTAAAAGAAAAGTCAACTTATGTATTTGTTGTTGTAAATCCTCATTGCAAACTGGCAAAATTCTCAAACATGTTTTAAGTTATTGAATAACAAAAAAAACCCCTGTGTTTAAATATTACAAGTGATCATAGTAGATGAGCAATAAACAATACATTCTATAATCTTAATGAATAAAGATTTTAAAAAAAATTGTAACAATTTTGTGTGCACTTCCTTGATTTCTACAAACATTTGACTGGGAAAAAACCCTCTTTTCCAGATCACAATCACCGACTTTATGCAAGTCCCAGTTTGTTTTTGTTTTGCGTCATTTGACTTACCTCAATAACTTTTCAGCATATAAATGTTACTTTATACAGAGGCATATTTCCATGGACCCCCTGACCTCTTGTGCCCAGAAGGCCTGTTCCTGGTAGACCCATCCAGTAATCCATCCCATGAGTGTAATATTACCTTTCTAGCATAGTTTTCGCAGGTTAACATTAATTTACAGACCATGACTGAAGATTAACTCAGGAATTTCTATTTCCATTTGTAGCCTACATCTTTCATTTTTGTGAATGCTTTATATAGAGTGACATCTTTAGAATTACAAGGATTTTCAACCCTGGCTCCTGTTTTGTTAGGAGATGAATTAGTCCTTCAGCACATCCATCCATCAGCCCTCTACATTAGTACAACGACCTTGTAGCACCACTCAGTTTTTACTTTCATGTGTTCAGCTGAGCCTCCTCTCTGCTGTCATGACTCTCTAACCCCGCCCTTTCGGGGCACACAGGGACTGCGAATAAAGCAGAGTAGGCAGGGGAAGTAGCAGCAGCAGCAGCAGCAGCAGGAGGAGGGGGAGGAGAAGGAGGAAGAGGAGATCTTCAACTTGGGATCAGGAGTCGGTGCAGTCTCAGTTCTCCACCGGACCGGTATGCACTATCCGCATAGGAGGAAGTGAGTCGCGCCGACTGTAAAAGATGCAGGCGGAGGAAATGGAGGTACCTGTCATTAATAACCTTAACGATAACGGCGATAGACAGAGGCCGAAAGGGAAAGATGTGTTCAAGGATCAGCAGAAGGAGTCGGAGGTAAATGTGTACAGTCAAATACCATAGTATGGGAGCGCAGTGAGCGTGCGCGTGTGTCCTTGTGTGTGTTGTTGCTGGGGAGCTTTCAGAGCAGCTGAGTGTCCTTTCCATGCAGTGAGTCGCTATCTTGGTTCGAAAGCATGCAGTCAGACCCCGAAGTGTTATTTTGGCAAGCGGCTCCTATAAATAACCCAGCAGTAGTCCTACAGTGGTGCTCGACATGGAGACATGGGGAAATGTGACTGCTGCTGTCAGGACCACGCCATCACTACTAAACATATATGACTGTCACACTGATTTAATATTTATGGATTTTATTGCGGTTTCTGAGTAGTTTAATTATAATAGTCTACTCCCATTCCTCATTGTTTTTACTTCAATGGTTTAGATTGTGCCATTTAATGAATCGATTAATTGACAAAAATCAAATCAGTTTAATTTGGCAGTTTAATTTATTAAGCATAGTAAACATTGGCTGGTCATGGTTTCACAAAGGCAAATAGCAATTCATACTTTATCATTATGAATTGCTTACTTTGAGTCAGACAAATTAAGGCATTTTAGAACTGTTAACTTGATGTTGATGGCCATTTGTTATTATTTTAAACATGTTTTGGGGTAAAAGGTTAAGCTCTTTATCATTACATCATATAACTATAATCTTCTTCTTCCACTGTTCCCGTTAGGGTTCGCCACAGCGAATCATCTGTTTACACCTAACTCTATCCTCTGCATCCTCTACGCTCACACCAATTAACTTCATGTCCTCTTTTAGCACATCCATATATCTCCTCTTTGGCCTTCCTCTTGACCTCTTGCCTGGCAGCTCCATCTCCAACATCCTTCTACCAATATAACCACTATCCCTCCTCTGCACATGTCTAAAACATCTCAATCTGGCCTCTCTGACCTTGTCCCCAAAACAGCCGACCTGAGCTGTCCCTCTGATGTGCTCATTCCTAATCCTGTCCATCCTGGTCACTCCTAAAGAGAACCTCAACATCCTCATCTCTGCTACCTCCATCTCTGCCTCTTGTCTTTTCCTCACTGCTACAGTCTCTAACCCATACAGCATAGCTGGTCTCACTACTGTCTTGTACACCTTTCCTTGGATTCTTGCTGACACTCTTCTGTCACACAACACTCCTGACACCTTTCTCCACCCACTCCAACCCGCCTGCACTCGCCTCTTCCCCTCTTTCCTACACTCCCCATCACACTGGACTGTTGACCCCAAATACTTAAACTCCTGCACCTTCTTGACCTCAGCCCCCTGTAACCTCACTGTTCCACTTCCCTCCCTCTCGTTCATACACATTTATTCTGTCTTACCACGACTGACTTTAATTCCTCTTCTTTCCAGAGCAGACCTCCACCATTCCAGGTGTTCCTCCACCTGCTCTCTGCTCTCACTAAAGATCACAATGTCATCCGCAAACATCATTATCCACAGAGATTCCTGTCTGACCTCATCTGTCAACCTGTCCATCACCATAGCAAACAAGAAGGGACTCAAAGCCGATCCTTGATGTAGCCCCACCTCCACCTTGAACTCCTTTGTCTGACCTACAGCACATCTCACTACTGCCGTACTCCTCTCATACATATCCTGGACTACTCTGATGCACTTCTCTACCACTCCTGACATCCTCATACAGTACACCTCTCCTCCATTCCTCAGGCATCTTCTCACTCTCTAAAATCCTGTTGAACAAACTAGATAGAAACTCCACTGCTGTCTCTCCTAGACACTTCCACACCTCTACAGGTATGTCATCTGGACCAACAGCCTTTCCACTCTTCATTCTCCTCAGAGCCTTCCTCACCTCATCCTTTCTAATCTTTGCTACTTCCTGCTTTACACGATTCACCTCTTCCCCCCCTTCTTTCCCTCTCATTTTCCTCATTCATCAGTTCCTCAAAATACTCCTTCCATCGTCTCTGCACTCTCTCCTCACTTATTAGCGTCTTTCCATCTGTCTTTAATCACCCTTATCTGTTGTACATCCGTCCCATCTCTTCCTTTTTCAACTTCCACCACTTGGTCTTCTTTTCTGTCTTTCCTCTCCTCTTCTTCCTGACCACCAGAGTCATCCTACACACCACCATCCGATGCTGTCTTGCTACACTTTCTCCTACCACCACTTTGCAGTCACTAATCTCTCTCAGATTGCCTCGTCTACATAGAATGTAGTCTACCTGTGTACTTTGTCCTCCACTTTTCTATGTAACTCTATGTTCCTCCCTCTTCTGGAAATAGGTGTTAACTACAGCCATTTCCATCCTCTTAGCAAAGTCCACCACCATCTGTCCTTCTAGGTTCCTTCCCTTAACACCAAACCTGCCCATCACCTCCTCATCACCTTTGTTCCCCTCACCAACGTGCCCATTGAAATATGCCCCAATCACCACTCTCTCCCCTCTCCATCACCTCATCTAACTCACTCCAAAATCTCTCCTTCTCTTCTAACTCACACCCTACTTGTGGAGCATAACCACTGACTACATTCAACATTACCCCTTCAATTTCCAACTTCAAACTGATCACCCTGTCTGACACTCTTTTCACCTCTAAAACATTCCTCACCAGCTCCTCCTTCAGGAACTCCTTCTTCAGGATCACTCCTACACCATTTCTCTTCCTATCCATACCATAATAAAACAGTTTATCATATAACTATATAAAAAATATAATAGCCTACATTTAGTAATAATGGTCTGCAACCCAGCATATTTTTAAGCTACTGTTTTGATGTTTTATTTTCAGTAACACAGTCAATGTGTGTGTGTGTTTGAATGAGAACATTTAATTCCATTGGGGGAATTGGAACATATTCATTTCCAACATTGAATGACATGAACATGGATACTGAAAGCTGTAAACATTAAAGCCGTATGTTGATTCTTTTCCTCCCTGGAACTGGGATCCAGTGTCAGCCTGTCTGTGGGGTGAAGTTCCCCCAGTCACTAGGCTAAATCTCCTTCTCTTACATACATAACACTCTGTTCAGCTTTTCACGTCTTTTAGGCTACATGCCCATACATATACCAAAGACCTTGATCTTAGCCTTATTGTAACTATGATTTTGTTGTAACTCATTCTGAACTATCTGGTTTGTATGGCTGCATGCTTTTTATTATGCGGTATTGTCTTGCCTTTAGAGAGTTGTGAGAAAACTGTGCTATGAGAAAAGTGTTTGTTTCCCAGAACTGAGAATGGGGAGTTTTTTGTGAGCTTGTGTATTTGTCTCACTGAGGTATATGTATGGCTGTACACTGTGAGGACCAGTTTGAGTTTTATACCATGGACCATTTTTTCAGTCTGGACACTGACATACCAACATTGCCATCCCTAAAGTTATGCTGCTGTCTTTTTTTTCTTTCTTAAAAAAGTAATATTTTGGACATTTAAGTTTGTGAACAAACTGTGAATTTGTGTATTTGCATACTACCATTGTGCATGTTCACAGGGAACTTTATGTGTGCACTGGTCTCGTGGGGACAGGCTAATTACAGTCTCAGGCTGAGAGAGATCTTCACAGGCTAATCACAGTCTCAGGCTGAGAGAGATCTTCACAGTAGCTGCTTTACAGTAGCTAATCTTCTCTGTAACGGGGACCATTTCAGCTACTACACCCTTTCCAAATTTCTTTTTCTGGTGCTGCATCATTTATTGCTTCACTGGAGCATTTGTTAGGGAGAGCCTCCTGTCCACTGATTACAGCAGTGGCTGTGTGCATCCACAGAGAAAACCTGCAATTGAGTAACTCTGGATAAAAGGATCTGAGAAACAACTAATCACAGCTACCCAGAGATCCAGCAGCCAATCAGACCTTGAAAATGTACACAGTGAGGCAAAACTGTGACAGAGCCTGAAGAGTGTGTGCGCATGTGATGTGTTGAGTTGAAGTGTATGTGTGTGTGACTCCCTAACTAAGAAGTGGTAGGTGTTGCAAAATGTGAATAGCCTGCAGTATGTTTGAGCATCTGTTTGTGGGTGTCAGAACATCTGAGTGGCTGAGCTCAGTGTGCTACTCTAATATTTGCATATGTGTGTTTTGTTCCTGTTCTCAGAGCTCCATGGAGTCTCCCAACCTGGAGTTTGAGTATGGAGACACAGACACACTCACAGCTGAGCTTTCAGGTAAGACTGCCCACCTGCTAATCTCAAGAAATATTTCTAAACCTGTTTTTCTCATGAACACATTTTCTTGTGCACAGCCTTATTTCGAAACAAACTTTCAGTAGCCTTTATATGTTTTTTCCCCCATATCAAACTGAGTTCAACTTGCTGCTAAAATCATGGTTGTTATACGTATGCAATGCAAAGTTCCTACAATAATACCTTTGTTTTCCAGTTGGCGCTTCTTTAGTTGCTTTGTTATTCATAAAAACAAGACAAGTAGCTAACAGACTGCTGAAGGCACAGAGCAAAATCTTTTGTTTGTGACATGTTTTATAGACATACAGTAGGATGCACTGAATAACTAATGTAATGAGAAATCATAAACACTGATTATATATTCAGAACTACTGAATTGTTCCAGCACCTGTTTATTTGGTATCATCTCATTTGTGACTTGGTTTATAAATGCCATAAATCACAGAAGAGCAGAATTTAATGATGCTAATAATTGTTTGCTCTTTGTTTTCTTCTTTCAAGTATAACATTTAGATTCCTGTCCTCTCCAGCACCAATTTTTTGGAGAAATGTTAAGCATTGATTTACAGTCAAATTGATTACCCTCCTAGATGGCGGTTGGCAAGTGGCAGCTTATTTGCTTTAGTCACCTTGGCAAAAACACACAGACAGACAGTCACAGCAGCTTTCCAGTGACAGCTCCTCGGGTCGAGGAATGACAACTGTTCTCAGGCCAGAAGGAGATGCACAAAAATGTGATGAATTGTTTGTGCACAAGGAGACAGGAGCTCTAGAGTTTGTCTGTTTGCATTCTGTTCTATTCTTTTCCTGTTCTGAAATTTTCTAAATGTTCTGTCCTATAATATACATCCGGATCAACTTGCTGGCTGATTCAATCACCCCGTCATATTCATCTGCTAGTCTCTAATTATTTGCTGTCCTATTTTGCTGTGTCCACAGAACTCTACAGTTACACAGAGGAGCCAGAGTTTGCCTTGAACAGAGACTACTTTGAGGAAGACTTTAAGAGCCATGGTACAGAGTGTGTGTGAGAGTATGAGAGAGATTATGCTTTTTTACACACCCCTTAATGTGTTCATATTACCTGAAGGATACCAAATGTATCATTCTCCTCTCTATCACTGGCTCACAAGAAGAGTGAGTCAATTCTGAGCTGTCTATCACACAAGTACATACTCTGCAAAGATCCTACATTGCTGTGCCATATCAAACACACAGCAGTCTATAGCTAGTAGACTGGAGTTGCTGCTGTTTATCACAGAGACCTTGATGGCTTCTCCAACAGTGTGTTTGCTGTTGACTGACAGAGCAACACTTGAGTTCTTTTGTGTAGCTCTGAATGTCCCTGTTGGTTCCAGTTTACAGCTTGACAGCAGTGTCCTTAAGTAAAGTACTGAAGATTAACTACACATACAGTACTTTTTTGCTTTCTCAAGATCGTACACACTTGATAAAAAGCCTATTAAAGAGAATTACAAGTGAACTGAATACATTACAGACTAAACATTACAGACTAAACCATTTTGCCTCTTTAGTTCCCTGTGCATTTCTCAGCTTCAGAATAAAAGCTGTAAAAGCAATCTGCTCTGCTGCTGCTGCCTCAGAAGTATAACACAAGCCAGAGCTGCTCTTCAGTCTGTAGTTGTGGTTGTTTTAGGTGGACCAGTATCAGATGAGGCTGACCACTCACATCATATGTTGTTCACACAGTGAATATCCCTACAGATATCAGTGCCCATCCTAACAATGCTTGGTTACCAAGAACAAAGTGGCTTTTCCAACATGAACCTTGATAGTCTGACAAGAGATTTTATGTGGTATTTTTTTATTTGATATGCTAAATGTATTAAATTATGATGGTTGTCTGTGTTAAATTATTTTGTTGTCAGGAAATATTTGCTCATTTGAAGCAGTATATTCAAAAGAAATTATTAAATTATTATTATTATTAATCATTAATAATGTAATATTATTTTTAAAATTTTGGTTGCTTGAAATTACAATATATATATTTGACATATTTTTTAGTTGACAGACCAGACATTTAGAGAACCACATATGTATTTTTTATCTGACATAACTATTCAGTCATCAAAGTCTCAAGTCACTGTGGCACACATTGTAAACAAAAGAACATCTATTTGGATCAGAAAAAGGGTGAGACAAGTGCTGTCCTCTGTCACCTCCTCTCCAAGCCAAACGATAATGAAAAGCAGGATTAAAGTAGAGAAATGCATTTCCTGTCGAAAATGTGTGTGGATGCTGATATGCTGAAGAATTGTCCTGAGAATGCCTGAAATCAATTGCTGAAACAGCTGAAGGATGAGAAGAAATGGCTGAAGTTCTTTGTTGAATATGCTGAAGGATGAGATGCCATAAATGCTAAGGAATGTCATTGAAGAGCTGAACATTTTGATACCTGAATGACTTTTCTAGCTGAAAATATGCTGAACTTATTAAGATGTGAAAATATTCCCTAACTCTATCCGCGGCATCCTCTACTCTCACCCCAATTAACTTAATGTCCTCTTTTAGCACATCCATATATCTTCTCTTTGGCCTTCCTCTAGACCTCTTGCCTGGCAGCTCCATCTCCAACATCCTTCTAGCAATATAACCACTATCCCTCCTCTGCACATGTCCAAACCATCTCAATCTGGCCTCTCTCACCTTGTCCACAAAACAGCCAGCCTGAACTTCCAGTTGATACACCACCAAGATGGCTGTGTTGTAGAGGAGCCCCAAAGGAACCAGAGAAAGTAAAGATAACCCCCCTTGAATTGAAGTTAGAACAGGAAAAACCAATAGCAATAGAGTTTAAAATCAAGAGGGGGTGAGAAATACGCCAGAATATACTCTCGGCGATGAACTGTAAGTAAACGAATTAACTCGGAGAGAAAAGTTGGATAACCGGCGCTAGCACTAGCTACCACTGGATAAAGCTAATCACCCTAAGACACGGCTATATAAAAGCAACGACAGTACGACACATTGGAAAGTATCTTGAGCGGGGAGAATATGGCAGACTATGACAAACTTGCCGAGTTGCGTGAAGTGCTTTTGCAAGAAATAAGAGGCTTTCGCCAAGAAAACGAGCAGATGGAAGGCATCAGGGAGGGGTTTGCAAAGGTGAACGGCAGACTGGATGAAGCTGAAGGTAGAATAGAGAAAGCGGCGGAGAGGATGCAGAATACGGAGGATGCGGTGACTGAACTTGTGAAGCTACACATTAAGTTGGAGGACAAGTTAACGGAGTTGGAGAGTCGTTCTAGAAGAAAGAATATTAGGATTTATGGCGTGCCAGAGTCAGCAGAATGAGACTCCCCATCAATGAACGCTTTTGTGGACATACTGCTACGGGAAGGCTTGGAGCTGGACGAGTCAGATATCCACATCGAACACACACATCGCTCACTGGTCTCTCCCCCGCCAATTGAGACTCCTCCACGCTCGATAGTCGTTAAGTTTCTAAGTTATTAGACTAAAGAACTGATACTTCGCAAGGCCAGGTCAAGAAGAGGGTTCACCTGGAATGCCAAAAAAAATAACATTGGATCATGACTACCCTCCTCTCATTCTTAAGAAGCGGAAAGACTATGCAGACATGCACAAAACTCTGAAAGAAAATCAGGTATAATTTCAGACCCTCTTCCCGGCCAGATTGAAAGTAAAATATACTGATGGAGCCAGAATATACAACATGGTGGAGGAAACAACCGAAGATATGACTAGGAGAGGCTACATGGTGAAGATCATCAAACCGCCTGACACAATCCTTGAACAGCTGAAGTGGCTGACCTGGAATAGAGCGGCCAAAGGGTCCAGGAGGCAGCAGAACCCAGGATCAGACCCTGGCTACAAAGCAAAATTGAGAGCCTTCAGGAGGACTGAGACCCTACCTTCGAAGTTGACTTTACTTCAGTTCTATTACTGTTATCAAATGTTAAGTGTTGATTATGTTCTGTGTTTGCTGTTCAAGAGGACCGGGGAACCAATTCATTTGTACAAAGTAGCTAAGAGGGTAGTAACATAAATGTATAGCAGATCTGTAAAACTGGTAATGATTAATATTACACAATCCAGTTAAAAGGTGGAAAGCCCTATCTAAACTCAAAAGAGATAAAGTCCAAATTGCGTTAATGCAAGAAACTCATCTCTCAGATGAGGAACATACAAAATTAAACAAGCTGGGCTTTAAACATGTCTTTTACTCCTCCCACAATTCTGGACGGCGATTTTGATATCTGGGGCACTAAACTATGAACACATATCGGAACACAAAGATAAGGAAGGCCGATATGTTATGATAACCGGTAGAGTGGAAGGTACGCTTACTGTCTTGTACACCTTTCCTTTGATTCTTGCTGCCACTCTTCTGTCACACAACACCCCTGACACCTTTCTCCACCCACTCCAACCTGCCTGCACTCGCCTCTTCACCTCTTTCCTACACTCCCCATCACACTGGACTGTTGACCCCAAATACTTAAACTCCTGCACCTTCTTGACCTCAGCCCCCTGTAACCTCACTGTTCCACTTCCCTCCCTCTCGTTCATACACATGTATTCTGTCTTACCATGACTGACTTTCATTCCTTTTCTTTCCAAAGCAGACTTCCACCTTTCCAGGTGTTCCTCCACCTGCTCTCTGCTCTCACTACAGATCACAATGTCATCCGCAAACAGACATGTTTTTGGGGCAGATCGAATTTGCTTTAACAAGTCAGGAGTGAATCTATGTATCTCAAACCTTCTGTACATCCTATGTCATTCATCTGTTCCCCCTGCCAAGGACAAGAGGAGTCAAAACACCAAGAAGTCACAACACATCAGCAACCACCAAGGAGAGCCACCTGAAGAGAATTTAAGAATTGAGGGACATCAGGGTCCAGATACAGACTGTGTTCCTTGCCTCTGTAAAGCACTTTGAATTGCCTCCCTGTATGAAATGTGCTACATAAAAAAGTTGCCCTGCCGTGAAGCTGGGGTGTATAGGCTAAATAAAGCTTGTCTTGACAGTTATTACTGATTATAAATGCATGAATTTATTATCCCATATCACATCTATCAGTGTATATTAAAACACTGTGTGCTTCAGGGTGAGCTCAGTTAAATGACCACAGAGAAACACAAATTACCACTTTATCCACTTTTACTTCACCACAGAACTTGATAGTGTTTACTATCTTATACACCAAGTATAATCTGCTGTATTTGTTTAAGTTTTCCAAATTCAGAAGATTATACTTATTTAAGATTTTGAGGCTTATCTAAAGCTGTTAATGTTTGCTTATACAATAATACAGTGGGTGTCAGTGTGATTTTACTGATCTGTCTACAAGGTTGTTAAATGGTATGAAATATGTGAAAGAATCATTGCATTCATGGAAACATTTAGTTGGAAGTGTTTTCACCTCAGAGTTGCCAGCAGCAGCCCTGGTACTGATCTACCTGCTGAGATCTGTCAGAACAACAACCTATGGTCAGTGATGCTAGATCCCCCCCAAGAGAGTCAGATTAAGTTGAACTCGCTTCGTGGTACAGGTCTCTGGTATGAAGGTGTGCAGACACACAGAAGAAGTGACTGATCAATCTGTACTTGGGTTATGTTGGGAAAATGCTTTGTTATGGCTTGTTCAAATGCTCCAAAAGGTGTTATACATCTACAGGTGCTCAGGAAGAACAACATCTCCCAGAAACTGCTGGTGTCCGCTGCTCCAATGAGAGCATCCTTACATACTGTATATGTGTATGGCACAGCAGCAGCACAGTGGCTCAGAGGAAAACACTCCAGAAGGTCATTAATACAGCCCAGGAGGTCGTCGGCGGCCCTCTGCTCACTCTGGAAGAACTACACAGTTCCCACTGCTTCAAAAAAAGCCCAGAATATCATTAAGGACACTTCACACCCAGGACGTCCACTCTTTGAACTGCTGCCGTGAGGTAGATGGTTCAGAGCAATCAAATCAAGGACCACTAGATTCTGGAATAGTTTTTATCCAACAGCAGTTACCACACTCAATGCTGCTAAAATATAATATGCCTGTGAGTGAGAGGGGGCATGTGAGAGGGCTGCTGTTTATTTAGTGGCTATGTTTTTATATGGTTTTATTTCATAAGTTATGTTTTTTTCCTATTGCTGCACCGACCAGAGGCCACTCTAAAATGTCATTGTTTGTGTTACATGACAATAGAGGATTATCTTATCTTATTTGTACATGAAGGTGTTTTGGTGTAGAGCAGATGATGTACTTGTGCTTGAGCTGCTTCACATGGTTCTCACACATAACAGACCACGAGTATGCAGAAGAGTTGGCGACTGCACCCAGCTCTGCCTGGCAGACAGAGACTGATTGACAGAGCTGGAACTCCTGACACTAGCAGGAACTGCCCATAGTACCAACTTGACTGTCCAAATAGCTCAGACCCCCTCTCGGAGCATTGTGTTCATGCAGCTGAACTGTATGTATTGAAGAATGCTCCTTTGCTGCAAGTATTAAAATCCTTACATAAAGTGAATCGGCCTTGGTCCATTCAGTCCGTTTGTTTATGGTAGAATAACCCCAACAGGTTAATGATTCGTTATTTTTCTGGTTTAATGATTTGACACTTTGCTCTGTCTCAGTCCAAGGGTTGTCTATATATCCAAAGACATTAACCTCGGCTTTTCTTTAACATTTGTCAAGGCGTTTAAAACTATAACATTTTATACGCAATCATAATCCGCAGACTGATCGATAATGAAAGCTGTCCTGAGCTCCATCACAGTTTGCTCAACAGGTAAAGGTCTGTTGGTTTTACAGCTGCTACAACTGATGCATGGTCCGGATGCCCTTCCTGACGCAGCCCTCTCTATTTAACCGGGCTTGGGACCGGCCCAGAAGTCACTGGCTTGCAACCCCTGTGGCTAGATTCTGTGCCTCAGTTACAATATCTAAGAATTTTAGCTAAATGTTAAGCAGCAGTAACTGTCTCTAGTAGCCACTGGTCAGGAAAAGATGCAGTCTTGCTCACAATAAAGTGGCATCACCTGAATTATCTAAGGCACAGGAAAAATATTGACAAAGTGCTTCTGAAAGTGACCTTGGACACTGTGTTGTTGTGTCCTTTATGCAGCTCGAAGCAGAAGGTGGATCGAGCTGTCGGTGGAGGAGCAGAAGGCGTACGTGATGCAGCTGCTGGACGCACTGGAAGTGACAGACAGAGACAAGAGGCTGAAGGTAGCCAGGGCCATCCTCTACCTGGCTCAGGGTATGTAGACCCAGTGCATTATAACCAGCAATTCACCATGCAGATGTAGAAATTAGTTAACAGCTGTCATCTACATACCTTGAATTTTCTAGCTACATTTTAAGTTGTGTAAAAGCTCGTCAGTTAAAAAAAATGCAGTCAGCTCAGAAACTTGGACACAGCAAACAAAACTACTGTCTTCATTTGTCCCATTCTTTCCCACACTTTCTTCTCCAGGAGTGTTTGATGAGTGTGACACAGAGATGGATGTGCTCCACTGGTCCAGATACAATGTCTTTCTGCTCTACGACATGGGCATCTTCACAGCACTGCTGGAGCTGCTCAGCATGGAGATAGAGTGAGTAGGATGCAGTGCTGTGGCAGACATTCAGCCTTTCAACTCTTTTTAGATAGATACAGTAGATAGGTATGTAGATACTTTTATTTGTCCCTGTGGGGAATTTACATTTGCTACAGAGTCACAACGTGTTTCAGTAATCAAACAGGGTCACAACAGGCAATAGACAATAGCCCCCATACTAAAAAAAAAGTAATCAGGTGATCAACTCCCACCTAGACTAGCTGAACGTCCTGTGTTACATATATAATAGTTTGTTGGCTTGTAGAACAGGTGAAAATTTAGATATATTTTTTGTGAATCTGGGTAGACAGTATTGTCACGCAGATGGCAACAATGTGAATGAAGGGCAAGAGGATGTCTCTTATCCCCCTCAGTGTTTTTAGCCTTAGCTAGTTTGTCCCTATAGATACAATCCATGCTTGGTAATGCGGTGCCTATCAGCTGTAGTTATTTTCTGAACCTGGTGTTTTTTTTCTCAAAATTTTTTTTTTTTTTTTTTTTTTTCTTATAAATCTTTTTCCTCCTTTGCCGAGGGGCTGCAGCAATAAAGAATGGGGCTGTAATACAAGGTAAAATGCTATTATGCGACTCAGAGAAATGAATGTCTTCCTTTCTGTTTTGATACATTAAGTATTCTTTTTATTTAAATGTCATAGGATCAAGACCTGCAAGGGCAGATGTGTTTTTACTTGTTAAAAACCATTTCTGAAGCTCGGGTCCCTCAGTACATCCCTTGTTCTCTCCCAAACCCTCCATCTCCATCTATGGCAAGAAGAGCTCACACAAGCGAGAGTAGGACTGTGGGATTAGAAACAGAAAAAGAGATTCTGAAATGCAAGAATGTGTGTGATCTGCACTTGAAACCCTCCACTGAGGACACAGTGTGGCAGCATCTCTTTTAAAGCCACGCTGTTGCCGCTGCTGTCAGTCTCATTTGGGATCCAGTTCTTTTTTTTGTTACATAAACTGCTCTGAAGCATCTTAGCACAGTCTGCCTTATCACCAGGCTGTGCAAAGCAAGCCAATCAGGCAAATACACACATGGTGTTTTCCAGGTCATTGCTGGGAATACAAAACAAAGGTTTAAAATACACATTTGATTGGATGTGAGTGTCAAAATCCTGGATTATGTTGTGTTTATTATGTGTTTGTCATAAAGATGCACATGTAATCTCACCTGTGTTGTATTTGACATGTATGCACAGACTGGTTATTTGTGGTTCCGTGTGTGTACAGTAACAGCCAGGCATGCAGTAGTGCAATGAGAAAGCCTGCCATCTCTCTTGCAGACAGCACGGAGCTCAGGTGAGGAATATAACCACATCAGTACCAGTCTACTTCACATTTTTTCTGCTTCACATAAGGAGGAGGCCAATGAACAATGTACTAAAAGATTTTCATGTACTGTATACTTTATTTTTTGGTTTCTCTGTTTTTTTGTCTCTCATCTTTGCTGTTTTTGTCAACTTAATATTTCTCATGCTTACTTTTCTGTCATCTGGCTACACGCACACACATTTACATCTAATCTACAAAATATATATACATTATATTCTTTGTCCCTCTCCCTCCCATTCATTTCCAGTCTGTTTCTGCTTAATGGAATAGTTTTTTTTGTTGTTGTTGTTGTTGTTGTTGTTGTTAATAAAACAGGCTCAACACTTCTTCACACACACATATGGTCACACATGCACAAAGCATCGTCTGTGCATCCCCAGATGAACACTTACACATAATCACTACCTACAGAAAAAGATTTGCACCTAATTGCTACAATAAAATTGAAAACTGTAAAACCTTTATATTTATTTTGAGCAAAATGAAAACCTCTGAGGGAACAAAGCGTTTAATGCATGCAACACCACCTGACTTACATCATGGACAGTGCATTATTATTTATATAGACACAAAGAGATTTCATAAACCAAATGCTACTTGCACTTACCTTTTGCTGTTCATCTGCTTGTACATATAAACCTTGTCAGCCCATCATAGTTTAGGGCACCATCATAATGCTTTCTACACTCACACACAGACACACACGTATGGCAAGCTGAGTCATGTGTGTGTGTTCCTGTTTCCTGCAGAGTTTTACTGACCATCATGTACCTGATAGTGGAGACCATTAGAGTTCAGACAGAAGATGACAGACCTGAGTGGGTAGCAGCCAGAGAGACTTTCAAGAATGAGCTAGGTGTGTCATTTAGTATATTGAAATTATATGATGATATTCCTTCATAGTTACTTTCATATATAGTCAGTCCAAAATTATTTACATTGACCTTTGACTCCCTAGGTTCATTGCTGTACAATGGAGAGCCTTTTGCCCTGCTCCTCTTTACTATGGTAACAAAATTCTGCAGCATGAATGCCCCACACTTCCCCATGAAGAAGGTACTACTGCTGCTCTGGAAGACTATACTGGTTAGTTCATCATCACCATGCTATGGGTGTTGGTCAATTTCTGTGCATTTCTGCATGTGTGTTTGTCTCTGATGAAGTCAGTATGAAGTTTCAAGTCATTTACAGAAAATATACAAAATTGTATACATTGCATACTTATTCATATGCTGTAATATCCATTGCATTACATTTCTCATCCTTGTAAATGTCCCTTTTACATTATTTACTGTACATAAACCTGTATGTTGTTGTGTTTGTGTTTCCATCCTCCTGTACAGTTCACCCTGGGGGGTTTCGAGGAGCTCCAGGAGATGAAGGTGCGGGGCCGGGAACATCTCAGCCTGCCTCCACTGCCAGAGGACAGCATCAAGGTGGTCAGGGCCATGAGAGCAGCTTCACCCCCGGCTTCCGCCATGGAGCTCATCGAACAGCAGCAGCAGCAGAAGAGGGGTCGCCGAAGCCGCAGGGTACAGCCAGCCCCACCCCCCCCACCTTACACACAAACACATTCTGAGTGCAACAGTAGCCTGACATGGATAAAATGTTATTTTACAGTCCCACCTTATAATTTACTCCTGCTTAGATCGCTCACGAGTGCTTCTCAGTAAATTCGCACACACACAAATATCTCACTTCAACATATTTTGACAAGGGGATATGAATGCAACATTTTAATATGCATTCATTGAAAAGTAGTCAAAAACAAGAAGTAGAAGTCTCAGGGCTTTAGTGACTTCACCGTATTTTTGAGCCAAAACACAGTCAAATATGAGACAGTGTTAGATACAGTAGGTAACACATAAACCACAAACACCTACAATGGAGTTTTACACATACTCTGCTGTTTATCTCAGTATCGCAGAAGCTATAAGTATGTTTGGCATCTTTCACCCTGCAGTATAACTGAACTGTATTATTAACATGGCATTATAAATGTTAACTCAGACTAATTATTCAATTTTTTTTTACCTTTTTTTCCATTGAACAGCTTCAATGAAAAGCTGGATCTACTCTAAACCGGATCTACAGAATTCCTTCTTAGCTTGTCTTCTTATTGGGTCAGGTTTTCCAAAAGTGCTTTAGTGCCAGCATCATCAGTTCCCTGTTGTATGTCAGAGATGATCTTGGTGCTGGAACAGCTTTGGGAATCCCCGCCCTTGTTTTTATTTAATTATTTATTTTTATTTTGTGGAGCTTTGACTGGACAGGCTCTCTCTTCCTAAATTCCCTCTGGTTTCTCATTGCCCCTCTTCCTTGTGTCCCCACAGAGTGCCTTTGTTGATAGCTTGGAAGGAGACAATCCCTTTCCCAAGAAGCAGGTCTTTACCCAAAAATTCCCTCCTTTCCTTCTGCATTTTCTCTCTGTATTGAGCTGGACTTTGTGCACTCCTCTGCCCCAAACCTGCCACCTTCTTTTCACTTTCTTCTTTCAGCCCCTTTGCCTTCCTTTCTCCTTCTTCTTCAACTCTCTCATTTTCCTCCTCTCTTCATTTTTCCAGTCATGTTTGGATGAACCACAGCTATTTTATGTTTTACCCTTTTCACATGCTGATTTAAATGCTAAACTATTGGACAAAAAAATCTATAGTGTTTTATTAAACACATAGATCAGAAATTAAAAAAAGAAAAGGTTTAATGCTTGGTGTGGTTGTGGTACAGCCCTATTGTCTGCCTCAGTTTCAGTATTTCATCTAATTCATCCCACTTGCATGTTTGTTGTCTGTTTTCATCAATTTTCTTTTTTTTGTCTCTTATTTTTCCTATTCAATTAATTCCACTTGTCCTCCTTTCATACTTACCCTTTTAATTCATTTTTACATGACTGGTTTCTCCATTCATATTAACACCTTATTTATTGTCAACTTCATTATATCCCTCATTTCATTGACTGCCTTTACCCCTTGACCTGTACTCTTATCTATTTTTGCTTTTCTCTTTCCTCCTTGTCCTCTTGCTTCTCTTCTCCTGCTCCTTCTCTTCCTGCCTATCCTCTCCCTGTCCTCATTTTTTTCTATGCCTTTTTCCACATTGTCATTTCCTTCACCTTCCTGAGTGTCCACTCTTAATTCTTACTGTCCCTGTCCTTCTCTCCCTACCCTATTTCTTACTCTTTTCTCCACTTTCCCCTCCACTGCAGTCTGCTCAGTATGTGATGGTGGGGTTTGAGAGACAGGGCTGACTTGTTGGCTGTTGTCATTGGTGCTGGGGCAGTCGCTAGCCATGGTCGCATAAAGACAGTCACTTCAGACATCAACAGTAGTCGCATCTCCCGTGTAGTTTTCATCACATTGCTATCAAGATTGGCTTAAAAAAATCACCTTGCACCGTAGACTATGGACTAGGGGTCAATGTCTTTAAAATGCATTCAGTGAGTAGATGAATTCAGATTTTCATGAATATAGTTTTACTTCTGTAGGTGTTGTACTGTACTTGGGATACAGTTGACATTTCTCTTAAATTGAAAACAGTTGCCCCCTAACCCTGATTATAGAAACACTAGCTTTACCTCCTACATAGCAGAGAATGGCTTCTCCATAGTGAATGGTTCACACCTCAGTTTGCCCTCGTCCTCTCTCCCTCCCTTGCTCCTCTCCATCATACACTCTACTCCTCACTTAGTCCAGCATTAGTACCACCACTGGCACACCAAACATCAGCTGCACTAGCTCAACTAATGTCCACAACGCTGACTCATGCCTGATGCTTGCACTATTACCACAGCCATTATTCATTGGACAATTTGTTTTAACTGACATACTTTATGTCTGTGTGTGTGAAAGTGTGTTTTGCACTTGAGCTGCAATGGGTTGGTTTTTAGATAAGAGCTCAGTGTAAAGTTTTGAGCCTTGCTTGCATTTTGTCTCTATCTTTTTGAAGTACAGATATGTGGTAAGTTAAATCAGACATGTTGCTTGCAGTTGCTGTGGAAAGTTTTCTTTTTGTCTCACTTTGTGAAAATGCTGCATAGATCTGATTTGCCCTTCCAGGGTTGTGGTATCTCTGCACTTTTTTATATGACATGGCTCTTTACAAAACAAAAGTAGAGAGTTAAAGGCAGTGGTGGAAGAAGTATTCAGATTGTTTACTTAAGTAAAAGTAGCAATACCACAGTGTACAAATACTTTATTACAAGTAAAAGCCTTGCATTTAAATTGTTACTTAAGTAAAAGTACAAATGTATTAGCAGAAAATATACTTAAAGTACCAAAAGTAAAAGTACTCATTTTGCAAAATGGCACAGTTTGCATTGATGTACATCATATTATTTGATTATAGCTATTGATGTATTATTGCATACATCACATTTAATATTGCAACTGGTAAAAAGAGAGCAAAATTAAATTTGACCTCCTATACTTAGAATTTGAATCATTGTTGGGTAACTTGTGAATTTTTACACCAAGGATCAATAAATCTTGTGATTATACTGTATTTTGTTTTATTAAGCTCTTTCTGAAAAGTAACTAGTAACTAAAGTTATCAAATAAATGTACTGACTAAAAAGTACAGTATTTTCCTCTGAAATGTAGTAGTGAAGTTGAGTATGAAGTACTAGACAATGAAAATACTCAAAATACAGATACCTCAAAAGTGTACTTAAGCACAGTACTTAAATAAATATACTTAGTTTCCACTGCTGGTTAAAGGAAGATGTGTGGAAATATGTTTGTTCACTCTCTTGATGAGAGTTAGATAAGAAGATAACACTGCCATGTCTGTATGATAAATATGAAGCTCCTGCCAGCAAACGGTTAGCTTAGCTTAGCATAAGCAGGGGTAATGAACAGCCTTGCTCTGTCTAAAGGCTCTCGCTTTCCAGTTTCCAAGCTAAGCTAATTGTCTATTGGCTTTAAAGTTATATTTAAAGTTTACCTTCACGGTTGTTCAATTAAACCTCTTCTCAGGAGTGAGTGGCAGTTTAAAATTCTGCACTTGTTTGAAATATTTGTTTACCTTTATGTAGGTTGGCTGTTAGGGCACAACAACTTAAATCATGATCCTTCATATTTAAACCTGAATTTTGATGACATGTAATTTCCAGCATAGCTACACCTTAACTTTCACTTAATCAGAGTTCTAATCGTGAATGGTAAACAAAAACAGTAGTGTGGGTATGCAGAGCCTTTACCAGACAGATACTGTAATATGAGTGGTATTATTCACCAACCATTCTTAAGAAAAAAACTTGTTTGTAAAACCCACTTTCGAAGTTTTCACAAAGATTCTTGCGTTCACCAATGTTTTCTTATCTGAGATTTGTTCTTAGATAAGAACAGAATCTGCACACTCAGGAACACACTTGCACACATTTGAGTGCAGATATGTTTGTGTGAAATAACTGGTTATATATTTTCTTCAGTTCTACAGTTATATAATTTTATAAGAATGAAGTTACAATAACAGTTTAGTCATCCTTTAATAATCCTCAAGTCTAAATGCAAAATACCAAATTCATTTTTTTTTCTATTGCTTAGCATCGTCACTAAAACAGACCAGTGTTACCTACCTAAGGGAATAAAAATCAATAGATTCCACTTAAAGTCTACCTGCAGTCTGTGTGTTTACTTTATCTCTGTCTACTTTAGGTTATTTCTGCTAATGTCTTCATACAGTTGGTGCAATTTGGCTACATCCTTCCTTATATATATGGTGCATTGCAAAATGAACATAAATCCTGAAAATATATTCAGTGGTCTCCTTTAACTTGATCACATGACATTTTCAATATTGATGCATCAGTATATTTCTGCAACTTTCTACAAAGTTTAACCCCTCTCCATACAGTTTATTTATTTGCCTGAAACACGTTTAATTTGTTTATAATCACTGGATCCCATGGTATTGACAGTATCACAAAGTATAGATCCAACCTGTATCAACTTGTTCCAACATCGAAGCTATAAAATGTTTTTATCGCAACACCATTCCATTCCATAAAAGGATGTTGATGTCTTGTAAATCATTTAATCACATTTCCTGAAAATTCGGGCAGACTTAATTTGGTATTTTTGAAAATTCAGAATTTAGATTTGAACTTCAATATTTGACTATACAGCATGAGTTTGTTTGCTTAGCAGTTAAAGTTGTATGTATGCTATCAGGTCAAGTGTATGTGATGGATTTTGACCTAGTCTTTACTCAGTTTTAGAAATTTCCTGCTGGTATTTATGAATATTTTAAAATATGGGATGTCAGTCACTCAGTCTTTTTCTGATCACCTATCATCCCTCTCTCTCCCAAGCCCTTGGTCAAGCAGGACAGCCTGGACACATATAACGAGCGAGACCCCTTCAAGAATGATGATGTCCGGGACGAGGAGGAAGACCCCGAGGACACAGATGGTGGCATTGAGGGCGAGGTGGACCCCCTGGATCGTGACGTCATCATCCAGCCTCCACCGCCCCCACCTCCTTTGAGACCCCCATCAGAGAGGGTCAACTTCCCCAAGGGCCTACCCTGGGCCCCTAAAGTCAGGTTAATTGCTTTGTTTTTGTTTCTTATTTATTTTTAACACCACAGCATTTGGATTATTTACAGTGGTAAAAATTAAATGTTGCAGTTACGGTAAGTGTTTCAAAGTGCCCTCTTAGAGCTTTAATTTGTGCCTTACTTCAGGATAAATTACACTGATTATATCCATACACCATACAAGTTAGTTTTAACATAGATTCTACAAAATAGCTTTAAAAATTAGTGTGTGAGACCATTCTGTGAAAAATAATACAGCTACTCATTACTTTAGCTACTAATAATAATCCCTATCAGACTAAGTTTAACAACACTTTGCTTTTATTCCACATTATATAACCTCTAAATGATTGTTGGCCACCAGCCATTCCGATCACTACAGTAGAGAAATCCTCTCACCCACAGCCAAGACTGTTTGGCTGGCAGCTGGTGTAAGTTTCCCCAACCTGAATCTATGCTGTCATTTGAGTAGTTAAAGCTAAATTTTGGGTGCTCCAATAGCTGAATGGTTATGGTGCAGTGTGCTGTGTACACATACACAATGCGTATATGACATCCGCTGACATTTGTTGCAGGTTCCCCCCCTTTCTCCATCTCCCTTGTTTCCTGTTTGCCTCTGTGTGACCCACTGACTACTAAAGGCAAAATGTGCCCAAAAATATAACTTTTAATAATTCTTCATTTTCTCTCCTCGCTACCATTGAGCAATATGCTCTCCATCTGTGTATTCCAGACAGTAGCCTGTGCGTCTCTCCAGGGTGCTGCTGCTGCTTTGAGGACATGAATAATGCATCTGAAAGAGCACATTTTATAGCACTGCATTTATCATGCATTCATTATCAGCAAACCCATGTTCTCTCTGTCCTTTAGCAACCCTTATCACAAGTGTGTTTATTCCTGTGTTTTTGGATCAGAGTGCTCAGTAAGAGGTTCTAACCCTTCACAGAGCGCAGCAACACACAGTGTGACTGATGAGATTTGAGGAAGCTAATGCATGTGCTTTTGTATTTTTGTGTGTTGTGTGAGTTCGGTCATACATACAGTAAGTGCACCCTTGAAAAAACTGCTTTTTAGTTACTTGTTCAGGTCCAGTTCTTAAATGAATCTAACATCTGAATGTAGCCTGTCTGTTTATCTACAGGGAGAAAGACATTGAACACTTCCTAGAGACCAGCAGAAACAAGTTCATCGGCTTTACTTTAGGAAAGTAGGTATTTCACCAGAGACAATAAATTATCCTTATCATCTGTTTAGCTTTTTCTTCTTTCAGTCTGGTATAACTCGTTATTGTTCTGTAGTGACACAGAGACCCTGGTGGGCTTGCCCAGACCCATCCATGAGAGTGTCAAAACGCTGAAACAGGTGAGAGGGAAAATTACTTCCATCTTTTTTTCCAGTCATTTAGCTTCTAAAACGAAAATTTACATCTTCATGTCTTTCTTCTTCTGTCTTTCTCCTCCTTTCTCCTTCCTGACATTGACATCTCACTAAAAAACTCCATACCTCCTGTTTAAACAGACTGAGAAGAGTATCTAAACAGAAGAATATCCCCCTTCTGACACCTTTATTTACAGTAGCTTGTGTTGAATGCATTTGTTTTGTTTTTTTCTTCTCCAGCACAAATATGTGTCTATTGCTGAAGTCCAGATCAAGAGGGAGGAGGAGCTACAGCAGTGTCCACTGACTCTGGTCAGTAATGTTATCAGTCCTTTTTTTAATGTATAATGGCCATCAGAATCAGAATCTGCTTTATTGGCCAGGTGTGTCGGACACACAAGGAATTTGACTCTGGTACATCGGCTCTCAATGTGTATGTACATATCCCCACGCAAGGGGCAAGTAAACAGTAAACTAGCTTAAGGCAGTGTAATATAACAAAATAAGCAGTATAAACAGGCAGTAAACAATGCAGACAGACAAAGGAATGCTCATTGTGAAATGAGATAAATAGGAATAAAAACAGAGTACTTAAAAATAGAGACCTGTATGGATTTGTATAATCTGTACAATGTATATTTACAGGTATTGCACTGAGGGTTATTGTCCAGTCAAACTGTCGTGGGTCAAGTGTTCATCAGAGAGATGGCCCAGGGGAAGAAACTGTCCTTGTGCCTGGTTGTCCTGGCGTACAGTGACCTGTAACGCCGTCCAGAGGGAAGGAGTTCGAACAGATTATGTCCCAGGTGTGAGGGGTCAGCAGTGATTCTCTCCACCCTCCTTTTGACCCGTGAGGTGTACAGGTCCTCCATGGAGGGCAGGCTCACACCAATGACCTTTTCTGCAGTCCTGACTGTCCGCTGAAGTCTGTACTTGTCCTGTTTGGTTGCTGAGCCAAACCAGACAGTGATGGAGGTGCAGAGAACAGACTCGATGATTCCTCTGTAGAACTGTATCAGCAGCTCCTGGGGCAGGTCAAACTTCCTGAGCTGGC